AAAAAACAATATGTAAGGGCTGGGAAGGTGGCTCAGTGGTAGAGCGCTTGCCTTGCATACATGAGGCCCGGGTTAGATTCCCCAGCACCACATACGCAAAAAGAAAAAAGCCAGAAGTGGCGCTGTGGCTCAAGTGGAAGAGCACTAGCATTGAGCTGAAGAGCGGAAGGACAGAGCCCAAGCCCAGAGTTCAGGCCCCACAACTGGACTCAAAAAAACAACAACAACAAAAAACCAATATGTAAATGTATTTTTAAAAGATGCAAAACTATTTTGCTTAGGGAGAAATTTAATAGCGGCAATATTATAAATGAAAGTAAAAAATGATTAACACAAAAGTCAGAATACCTTCAGAGAGAGGTATTTGTGATCACAGATGACCACACAATGGGGTTGTTTCTAGGGTACTGCATTACTGTGTAATTTTATCTGGTGGTTGTTACACAGATGTTCACTTTATATTATTCATTTACCTGTGCATTTGCATTTGGGTTGGAATCTCAGAAGACCAAGCAGTAAGATACAAGTACATGCTTGAATTTGAAAACACTCAAAAAAAAGTCTCAAGTTAGCCAGGTACCAGTGGCTCACGCCTGTAATCCTAGTTACTCAGGAGGCTGAGATATGTGGATGGTGGTTCAAAGCCAGCCTTGGCAGGAAAGTCCGTGAGACGCTTATCTCCAATAAACTACTCAGAAAAAGTTGGAAGTAGAGCAAGTGGTAAAGCACTAGCTTTGAGCAAAAGCAGCTCTGGCAAAGGAGGAGGTAACAATGCTTGATAGGAAATGTACTCATTACCTTACTCATGTAACTATAAGCCCTCTGTACAGTATCTTTACAATAAAAAATATATATGAAAAAAATTAAAAAATAAAAAAAGAAGCTCTGGGACAGTGCCCAGGCACAGAGTTCAAGCCCCAGGACTGGCACCAAAAATAAGTCAAGTCACATATCTATATGAGAAAAAAGAAAAAAAGAAAGTAGAACAGATACTCCAGAAAATTATATTGATTCCACATTAAAATTTCCCATATCTCTAACCAATCCATTCTTCAGAATTCCCTGAGTATATTTATATTTTATAACTGTTCTATGCCTAAGAATCTGTTACAATAAGTTTTAAAACTATTTTATTATCAATGCTTAAAAATATAAGTGTTAGAGCTGGAGCCATATTTCTCTCTGCTGTCGATGAACTGCTATTCCCACAAACAATATAGTTACAATGAAAAAGCATCCATCATCAACTACATGAGCCAGATACCTTCATTAATGACCCTTTCCTGTAGTTGCAGATTTTCCTTTCTCTTCATCTACCAGAACCAGTAATATAGTTTGAAAAAAATCATTTTGTTACAAAAGTACAAAATGAAAAATGAGGACTCTTCAAGACCTAAACTTAAGAAAAAGTAGCATTAGAAGCAAAAGCAAATTCATTTGGAATTAAACAGATTTTAAGAATCTGAAAAATGTACTCAGGCAGCAGCACCACAGTTGCCATCAACTTCCAAGAAATTCTTCCAAATTCCTCAGAAGGAAAAATATATACGAAATACAAGTTTCCTTCTGACTTCTTATGCATTTTTAACGTTTTTTATTGCTAGGCACCAGCGGCTTACTCCTGTAACCCTAGCTACACAGAAGATAGAGATTTGAGAATCAGTTAGAAGCCAGCCCAGCAGGGAAGTCCATGAGATTCTTATCTCCAATAACCACCAAAAAGCCACAAATAGGGGTGTGGCTCAAGTGGTGTTGTACTAGCTTTGAGCAAAAAAGCTTAGAGAGAACATCTAGGCCTTAGGCAGGAAAGCCGCAGGACTAGCATTAAAACAAAGTTCTCTACAATTCTCACATGAATGATGTTAATGAGTATTGTAGACCTACCCTGGATTTATGTTCAGTTACTATGTTCCCATATAGTATCCTCTTACATTATGTTTCTCATCACTAAATAAATTATCATCTATATCCTACCAAAAACATTAGCTTCATAATTCAACCTAATCATTTCCTTTTCATAAATCTACTCAAAGAGAAATATAGTCCTTTAGAAAATATAGGCAAAAAAAAATAAAAAAAATATTTCAGAAGCAAAAGTCAATCAAAAGAAACTATTTTCAAACATAGCTAGCTCATTAGACAATTAGAATGATGTCTAATGAAAATAGGTGAAATATTAAGTCAGTAAAACACAAGTTTATGATAGAAACAATTAAAAAATGTAAGCCTATTCTCATAAAGAATAATTTCTCCACTTCAAGTCACCCTTAAATCATTTTATCAGGGTCCATACTCTACCCTCCTCAGTTGAGTATTGGACTGTTTTCCCTTTGCACCTTTATTTTTATTTATTCATTTTTGGTGCTAGTCCTGGGGCTTAAAGTCAGGGCTTGGGCCCAAGCTTCTTTGCTCAAAGCTAGTGATTTACCAGGTGACTTCTCTACTTCTAGCTTTTTGGTGCTTAATTGGAGATAAGAGTCTCAGGGACTTTCCTGTCCAGGTTGGCTTCAAACCATGATCTTCAGATCCCAGACTCCTGGGTAGGTAGGATTACAGGCATGAGCCACTAACACGTAACAAGTTCAACATTTTTTTATTTTTTTATTCAAAAACCCTCAATTCTAGAATACTCATACTCATTAATGTATTCATCACCTCCATGATACTAGATACTTTTATTCAAACCAAAATAAAAAAAATGAATGAACTTTCATCACCTGCCACTATAAGAGGATTAAAGTCCAGGCAAGCTAGGAAATATGAGACACTATGTGAAAAAATACCTAAAGCAAAAACAGCTGGAGGTGTGGCTTATGTGGTAGAGTGCCTGCCAAGCAAGCTACCATCACATTGATTAGAGAGGACAGGAGAGAGGAAAGAAAGGAGAAGGGAGAAAGGAGAGAAGGAAAAGAGGAGAAAAAACAGTAATGTACTAATTAAGAATATTTACTTTTTATTTACTTATATAATTTTGCAGTGTAAAGGATTGATTAGACCTAGGGCTTTGAACATGATACCTAGGGCTTTGAACATATACCAAACTATATCGCCAGACTATAGAATATATAACTTTGAACACTGGTATATTCTGAAGGTAGAATGTTTTGGTAGAGAGAGAAGCAATATGATGAGAAAGAAAAAAGATACTGAGGACTGGGAATGTGGCTCAGTGGTATAGTTCTTGCCTAGCACTCATGAAGCCCTGGGTTTGATTCCTCAGTACTACATAAACAGAAAAAGCTGCAAGTGGTGGTGTGGCTCAAGTGTTAGCTTTGAGCAAAAGAAGCTCAGGGACAGTGCCAAGGCCCTGAGCTTAAGCCCCAGGACTGGCAAAAAGAAAAAAAGGCACTGAATTTGAAGTACAAAGTAGTTTTGCTTTCAACTCTGCTTGCTATTTACTATTTAAATAACTGGGATAGGTAAAGGCCACTTGCTTAACTCAAAAATGGGGGAAAAAGTTTTGTAAATAATTAAGACCTCTTGGAGTGTTACTTTTCCTTTATTTAGTTTCCAGAATATATTAGTGGAAACAATGACAAAAATAATCTGGCTTGTCTTGCCACTGTGGACATCCACAATGTGAACATGATTGTCAGAATTCACTTCTTCACTATTGCAAAAATACATCCAACAATGTGAAGATGAAGAGACTGTATAAAATATCCATATTCTCTAGATACCTTTTTCCTAACTTATGCTTAAGTTTTAAAGGCTGAGGGGGGGGGGGGGGGAAGAAGATACTTGGTAACAATATAGATCATGTAGACTAGTTAACCTAACAAGCAACAAATTAAAAGTGAAAAAAGACAATGTTAAAAAGTATAAAAATCTAAAACTAATAGTCTTCCATTGCCACGGTCAGCAATACTGAACAAATCTATGAGTAATCTGTTAGCAGTGTGTAAGTGCTGTTTGACAGTGTCATGTCATTACCTGCACTGTAAAGAATTGCAATTCTACTTATTTATCTCCCTATAAACAGGGGGGAGAAATAAAGTAATCAATTAACAAATAAACATGGTTAATAGGATCAGCCACAGCAAATTTCACAACAGTTCAAACTACTTAATGTTTCTTACAAAGTAATACCATTTCCAAAAATCACTTGGACAATACACTTTTTCTTATTTTTTTTAAAATCAGTTTTTAAAAGTAAAAGAAAAAAAAGAAAACCCAACAAAACCAAGACTACCTTTCCAGGTTTAAAAATACCTACAAGGAAAACTATTATTTATCATGCTAATGTAGAATGAAAACTCACAAAAGCTTATTTTTCCTCAACTTGAAAATCAATTTGCTTACAAAAAATATCATGTTTGAAAGAAAAATACTACACTTTCTTAAAAATTAGAAGCAAATGGGGAATTAGTCCATAATAAATCTTAACCTTTAAAAACATTTCCATTAAAGTAGAAATGACTACCCAGATGTGGCTTATGCCTACAATCCTGGCTACTCAAGAGACTGGGATCTGCAGGATCACAGTTCAAAGGCATTGTTGGCGAAATAAAATTTTTGTCTCCAAAATAACTATCAAATGAAACAGGCTGGAGGTATGACTCAAGTGGTAGAACATCAGTTGAGCAAACAAACGCAGCAAAGAGCGGAAGGCATCAAGTTCAAACCTTAGTACCATCAAAAAAAGAAAGCTGATTTAATATTTGCTTTTACTAACTATAACATCATTTCATTGTCTTTGCCTAATTCTTTGGAATACTGCTTATAGAAGCATGCTTGTGGCTGGTGGTCAGCAGTGGGTTACATATGTAATGCCAGCATGACTCAGGCAAAAAGATCTCAAGTTCAAGGCTAGCCTGAGTTACTCACTGAGTTTCAGGCTAGCCTGAGCTATACATAGATTGCCTCAAAATAAATTTAAAAAATAAAAATAAATTGACAAACTGAAGTATTAATATTTCCACACTCCACTACAGAAAAAAATAGAAAAATCTAGTTTTGATTCTTCCAGAATTTATTCTAAAAATACTTGAGCAATTTACCTCAAATTTCATCACCTTCTCCATTGTGATCAAGCGTCTTGATGTGTGACTGGAAAGCTTTTGCTCGCAGTTACTAATGAGTTTCAGACAAGGGTGCCAGGGCACCATCTCTTCAGTGTATCTGGAAAAAGTAGAACTGGGCGTCACCAACATTCTCATGTACAGACACACAGGAGCAGAGGGCTAGCCAGTGATGGATGCACATAATCCATAAATAGCCTACCTATATTTCAAAGGCAAAGTATTTTAATATTCTCGTATTTTAAAAAATGGAATTTTTAACCTTGTAAACCACAAAAATACAAGATTTTACCCTGAAGGATCCCAAAAGAGCAATGGTACATTCTACAAGATTCATGCCCCTTTCAATTACATCTTGAAACTTGCATTAAATGTATAAGTACAGAACTAAAGTTATTCACACAACTATTCAATTATAAAACAACCACTAGAGATTATATCCACTGTCCTTTCACATCAACCAGGAAGTATACTGAAGCTGTATGGAGACCGCTGCAGTCTCAACACAAGTACCACATGATGCAGACAAAGACACCTAGAAACAGAAGATTCAGGCTCACCAGTTAAGAACCTGGTGTCTTGGCGGAAGTCATAGGTTGATAGACATTAGGGAAATGGCTCTGATGCAGAATGCAGAACAGAAGGGAAGGGGCTCACTCGATATTAAAACAATGTAGAACATTGTTTTAATTTTCCTTTGTAAATCTTTGTCTTTCTGGATGGGCACATTTTTTTTTTGTGGGTCATTTTAAAGTTCTGATCCAAAATGGGGAGAATGCTGATGAAAAACCACAGGGAGGCTAGCTGTTCTAGGTTTTTGTTTTTGTTTTTATAAGATTTGGGATTGAACCCAGGGCTTTGTGCATGCTAGCCAAGAACTCTACCATTTGAGCTACACTTCCAGCCGAAACTGGCTGTTCTATTGTGTCACCAATGTGTTTACCGCCATTCCTACTGACTTTCCTAGGTCTCTCTGACCTTCAGAAGCTCTTCTTCACTACCTTAGCCACATGCTCAGAACTTTCACCACTCACTTACCAATCAATGTTCATACTACACTTCACTGGATTATCAGTGGAAGGAATTCTCTTGAAGTCTTTCTCTGCCTCCTTCCTTACAGCTTTCCAACAAGCAATAGCCACTTAGGCTTTCTCTCCTCTAATAATTGTGCAATGTACATTACATAGTTAGAAATATATTTCTTATAAAAGCAGTTGACATTTAATTTTGATTTTTGTATCATGAATTTTTAACATGAAGGTGCATCTACTACACCATGATAAATACTAAAATAAAAAACGGAAACAGAGAAGACACAGCTTTGACTTTAAGCTTGGAAAGAGCAAGATCTGTGAACACTGAAACAATGCTTGTCAACGTTAGAAATGCACCTTGGGCGATGAAAGATAAACAGAGTCTTGCTACACGCTGTAGTCCTGACTGGCTTTAAACTTGCAATACTCTGGACTATATATATATATATATATACATATACATATATAATGTATATAACAATATATATTGTATATAATATAATAAATCTATAATATATATTATAATATATAATGTATATAATATATATTATACATAATGTATATAATATATAATATATATTTTATATATGTAAAGTACCTTATATATAAGTGCCTTTTATAAGTATATCCTATACACAAGTCAAGTAATGAGTATATTTCTTTTTGAACAGTGTCACCCCTTTTAAAGAAAAAACAAAGGTAAACAAAGGAGGAGGCTGCAATGCTTGGTAAGAAATGTACGCATTATCCTGCCCATGTAACTGTAACTCCTCTGTACAGTATGTTCACAAATAAAATTAAATTAAAAAAAAAAAGAAAAAAAAATCTCCTGAGTCTGATGTATTTTTATTAAAATATCACTTAAGCAAAAAGATATAAATTCCTTCTACATTGATATCCTTTGCAAAAATAAAAAAATTAAAAGCACAAAATCACTATGTTAAATAACATTATGATATGAATGTGGCCTATGCTCCTGCTCTTCCTTCCCCCACCCTTCTTTCCTTCCTCACTCACTCCCTTTCTCCCTTTCTTTCTTCTGGTCCTAGGATTTAAACTCAGGGCCTGAACATTGTCTCTGACCTTTTTCACGCAAGGCTAGTCTCTACCACTTGAGCCATAGCTCCACTTCTGGATTTTTAATGGTTAATTGGAGGTAAGAGTCTTGTTGGCTTTCCTGCTTGGGCTGACTTCAAATCATGACCCTCATATCTCAGTCTGAGTAGCTAGAATCATAGGCGTGAACAGCCAGCACACAGCTTGGGCCTTCTTTACCTTTTCCTTTTGTACCCCTGGGTGAACATGAACCACAGCATTTGATTAAATAACATATTATCATATTCTAACATATTAGAACATCTTCTTAGTCTGCTCCAGTTTTAAGCATAAAGACACATCATGTGGACTGTCATCACCACTAAGAAACTTGTAATCACTAATGTATTATAATCTCTCTGTATCGACAGAAGATTGATTCTAGGACCCCCCCCCCATCCCTGAAAGATACAATAATACAAAGATGAACTAAAATGGTAAGGTGTTTGCACATAACCTATGCACAATCTTCTGGATTCTTTAGACCTTCTATAGATTATTTATAATACCTAACACAATGAACATATAACAAATATGGTTGCTATGCTGTACTGTATAAATAATGGCAAGAAAAAAAATCTCAGATCAGTACAGATACAACATTCTCAGGCCTAACTATATTTCCAACCCCACAGATAGGGAAGGACTACTCTACAGTAACAAGTCATAACTTAACAATGTTCCTCTAAATTACTATAAAAAAAAAAAAAATCAAAAAAAATCTTAAAATAGTATTTAAAAATTCCTTACTGTGTATTTACTTACAGATCATACCGATGGGGTATTTGCAAACTGTTAGAAGCTATAAATCCATATTATGCCTGGACTATTATGGTATTATCTTAATTCTCTATTTTTATTACTGCTTCCCTACAGGCTAAGTTACCTACTTAAAACTAACATCAGCCAAAACAGGCAAATGTAGAGATGGATCAGTGATTGCCCAAGGCAGAAGAAACCGTGACTGCCAATATCTACAGAGCTTCTTTTGGGGTGATGAAAATATTCCAGAATTAAATAGTGTTGATGGTTGCACAACTTTGTGAATATAATAAAATTCATGGAGAAGGGGAAATTTCAAGGAATATAAATTTTATCCATCTTTTTACTTATTTGGTATTTGTTTGTGATACCTCACTATCTACTCCAAGATGGCCTGGAACTCCCTATGTATCCCAGGCTGATCTCAAACTCAAAATTCTCCTGCCTCAGCCTCCTGAATGCTAGAATTAATGGTATGCGCTACTATAATTTGTCTCTTAACTTATTTTTTAAAGCAAAAATAACCATAGAGGCCTCTAGCTTTTCATTAAATCAATACAGGTAGTCACACATTTTCCTTTGAACTTTCATGTAATTACTTCCTAAATGACATTTGTCACTTGAGAAACAGATTCTAGGCTGATTGGAACACTTACTGAAAATGGTTTAAGTAATCACTCCTTCCTATTTACTAGATAGGAGATGGAAAAATGTTTTCTTCACTGATCTGAGACATGATCTTCCAACTATGGGGCATGTTACTAGGCACTCTGGTCATATATTTTAAATTTTCAAATTGGATAATTATGGGGCACAATGTTATGTTTTGATGTATGCAAGTCATTACTTTTACCAATGCTAGCAGTTGTGTTGCCATTAAAGGTCATCTTTCACAAATAAACAGTTTCTAATCAGCTTGAGAGCTATTTGTATGTCATGAAGTCAGGTATCATCGCTCTATGACATAAAACTTGAGCACACAGCTATACACATTCATATCACATGCATGAACCAACTTTTGTCTCTAAGGACAGAACCTAAATGTTCAGTTATTTGCAAGGAGACTTACAAAGTCTCTTGAAATGTCTGTAAGAACTACTATAGAGCATGGGGAAAGGACTGATTACCTCTCCTGAGAAGTGGCAGAAAAAGTGCCAAGAGTGATAAGAATTATGCCAGTCCTTGGAAATGACTAGAAATGTACTAGATGAATTAAAAAAGAAAGGCTGAGAAACAGAATAAACAAAGTGGGACAATATAAAGGATACCAAGTATTTTGATGGTGGAAAAAAATCAGACACAATACAAAGTCTAAACTGCAAGAACAGAGAAGTTTATAGGTACTTGTTTCTTCACTGTGATTTAAATATCAATGAGAAAATCCTTTAACAATTATCAGCTCTCACAATTTCTCAACTACAACTGAGCTTTTATCTAATTGTGCTTTTTAAAATGTCTGAGATTAGATTAACTATAGTGGCACTTGATTATAATGTGCAATTATTTTTTAACTTGCATCAATTAACAGGATATGAAGCTGTATTAAGGTACAATTTAAATCAAAATTTTAATTCTTAAGTTAACAAAATCTACTTTTCCAGTACAACCTAAGTAAATCCTACACTATTTAACTCAGAAGCAAGAATACCATTTCAAACTTTTGCATATGATTTTACCCTTAAATTCTTCTTCATATCAAGAAGTTGTTTCATTTTGTTTTTGCTTTGAGACCGGATCTCAAGATGTAACCCTGGACAGGCTTAAACGCAATCATCCTTCCTCAGTTTCCTGAGTGCTGGGATCAAAGGCAAGGACTACCAAACCCAGCCTGACACTGTTAATTTAAAAAGAAAAATTTAGGATGGTATACACTGAAAGTGAGTTAAAGGAAAAAGCAGTGGCCGTTGGTTTGTACCTATTATAGTCAGAAGAGAGAAATATAAGGAAGAAGAGATAGCAAACAAATACTAGTTGTCAAGCAGCATTTGGGGGAAAAAAAATGGTGGGTAGAGGGCTACAATATGATGAATAGAAAAGGTTCTGTAGATATTAAAACATTTTAGAATACATTTTGTCTAGGATAGCAATTGGTGGGGGGTTTTTCATAGAAATGAACATATATGTGCCTTTTTAAAAATATTAGTAAAATCTCGCCTATCATTTCACACGTCAGTTATGAGATCTATCAAACAAGCTGTTGAATTACATGAACATAGCATAAGAAATAAAGAAACAAATTAGCGAAAGCTGGATAGTTTTTAATTTTAGATGAGTCATTTCAGCCTTTGAAATTCATTTTCCTCATTTCCAAAATAAAGGGTTAAAATGAAATTTTCACTGGCAACGAAACTATATTACCAATGCTGATAAACAAATACATGACTACAGGTAAGCCAGTCATTTCTGAAACAGTTTGTAAAAACAAAAACCACACAGCTTCCAAATGCTGCCACTCACCACTATAAAAAACACAGACAATACATCACTGTCCTCAAATTCTTTTGAGCAAGTATAAACAGAAAATGCAGGAATTAACTTGAAAAAAATTTCCAAGACAAATTGAAGAAATTATGTTTGAACTTGATACTATCTTTACATATCTTGTTCAAGCATTTTATCCTTCACTGCTGATGTACATACCCATTTATTCCTTAACAGTTGCTGAGTCATAAAACTCAAACCAATGTTTGAACTGAATAGGACTATCATATACCCATAATTTTTAATTTGGTCTTAGCTTTAAAAAAAAAGATTTACTGAATTCAAGGTAATTACAATCCCTTACATGCAAACAATATGTATGAAAGTTAGCATTAGAAGTAGCTATACACAAAGCCCTCAGCTAAGTTGCTAAAAATTACTTATGTTTGAGAGAGGCAGAATAACTACTGAACAACTAGAATATACTAGGCTCTGAGCTAAGATTGGGTACAACAAGGGTTGGCAAACTTTTCATGTGAAGAACCAGAGGGTGAATAGTTTAAATTTTTGTGAAATTTATATATATATATATATGTATATATATATATATATATATATGTATGTATATATATTCCTGTTATATATTCCTCTGTATGATATGCTTTGGACAACCTTTTAAAAATGTAAAAAGTAATCTTAATTCAAGGACTTTACCAAAACAAGTTAAGAAACATACTTGGCTCACAAGCTAAGATCGGACAATCCCTGAAATAAACATAAATGATATAAAGACCTTTGATAAAAAGGTCAAAACAATTGAGTCAATAAGAGGAAGGAGACTGTTTTTTAACATATATGTAAGTAAACAAATGTTATCAATATATATTAAGTACAAAAATAACAATAAAATTAGAGATAAAAATCAGGATGTAATTGAAGGAAAAATTAAGATCACGTACTCTGGTGTATACACTGGTAACCAATAGACTAGTCTTCCCCCTAATACAAGGGTCTCAGCGGCAAAGTTCAATAGGTCAAAAAACATATCACTCAGGTGATAACTCAAGGAAACGGGAACGTGGCTTTCTGGACTAATAGAGAAGACAACATTTCAAAATCAGTGAAAATTTTAAGACTGCTTAAGCAATTAAAAATAAGAAATATGGTCCTCAAAGTAGATTCTTGTCATACTTTCATTTCTCTTACCACTTTTCCATCCCCTTTGGTATTTCTTTCTGTGAACCTGTTCTTCTTGTAGATTCTCGGATACCATACGGAGCTAGACAGAAAACACAATACAGACAGATGAAAGTAACCAAATTTCTAATGAGGGGGCAGATAAACATCATGTATCTCCATATGTGACACCCAGAAGACACAATACCATCCATCTCTACATGACTTCAACTAAGCATACATAACATAAAATGTCACATAAGCAGGAACTGTATTCTTCAAAAATGTCAATGTCCTAAAAGATAAATTAAGTTTGTGGATGTATTTTAAGGAAGGCCCAAAAGAGGGGCTGGGAAGGTGGCTCAGTGGTAGGGTGCTTGCCTTGCATGCATGAGGCCCTCAATGTGATTCCTCAGTACCACATAAGCAGAAAAAGCCTGAAGTGGGGTTGAGGCTCAAGTGGTAGAGAACTAGTCTACAGCTGAAGAGCTGAGGGACAGAGCCCAGGCCCAGAGTTCAGGCCCCACGACCAACAACAACAACAACAAAAAAAAAAAACCAGTAAGGCCCAAAAGATATTATTACTAAATATAGGACCTGACTCTGGAGTGGATTTTTGTACTGAATTTAAAAAAAAAAATAATATAGACTATTGAAAGGTAATCTAACAAAACTAGATGACAAACTGTAGATTAAAATATTATATCCACTTACTGAATTAGTAACTGCACTTTGGCTCTCTAAAATGTTATTCCTGTTCTTAAGAAATACACACTAAAATTATAGGGGTAAAGTACTACAATGTGCCTAACTCACTCTCAATAGAGGGCTGAAATAAAAGATTTTAACTTTGCCATTATTTAGAGATTTAGTGTCAAATTCTATAGAAAAGGCGGGTCTATTCTTACAGACCACTGCAAAAGCCCAAGACCTCATAAAGCATGGAAAAGTAAGTTGTCATGTACTTTTCTGAAGCTTACTGGGTTTACAAGCTCAGTGGTTCACAAAACTCCAAATTTTTTCAAGTCTTTAACAGAGATGCCAGTGAAAATAGGCACTACAAAACCACAAAAGCTCCAGCACTGTTCTTTCTGTTAAGGATCGTTTTTGCTATTCGGGGTTTTTTTTTTATTGTTCCATATGAATTTTTGGATTGCCTCTTCTATTTCCTTGAAGAATGAGGTTGGAATATTGATAAATATCACACTGAATTTGTAGATAGCCTGGAGAAGTATTGCCATTTTCATGATGTTGATCCTTCCAATACAAAAGCATGGGAGGTTTTGCCACTTTCTAAGTTCTGTTTTGATTTCCTTTTTCAGGTTTTTTAAAGTTTTCATCATAGAGGTCCTTCACTTCTTTGGTTAAGTTAATTCCTAGGTATTTTATTTTTTGCGAGGCTATTACGAATGGAGTTGCTTTCCTGATTTCAGCCACACTTTTCTCATTGTTGGCATACAGAAAAGCCATTTATTTTTGAGGGTTAATTTTATACCCTGCTACTTTGCCAAAGTTTTGAATCACCTTCAAAGTAGTATGGAGGTTCCTCAAAAGACTCCACACAGAGCTCCCCTATGATCCAGCAATCCCACTTGTGGGCATTCACCGAAATGATCACAAACAAGACCATACTAAAGCTACCAGCACAACTATGTTTATTGCAGCATTATTTACCATAGCTAAGATATGGAACCACCCCAGATGCCCCTCAGTAGATGAATGGATCAAGAAAATGTGGCAAATATACACAATGGAATTCTATGCCTCCATCAGAAAGAATGATATTGCCCCATTTGTTAGGAAATGGAAAGACCTGGAAAAAATTATATTAAGTGAAGTAAGCCAGGCCCAAAGAAACATAAGTCCCATGGTTTCCCTTATTTGCAATAACTGGTATATGTCTGAGACAAGCAGAAATGGTCAGATAAGTTGATGATAGGCGAAATGAACCCCAAGATAAGGATTCTAAGGACTCAAATGTTTTTTCTTTCTTGCTTTTGTTTCTAACATATGTATAAGATGATTTCTTTGTTGCTTTGTATCCCTCCCCCACAGTATAACCCCTGTTTTCACTGTATTTAATGTTGGTATAATTTGTGGAGGGGAAGGGAAAAATCAAAGTGGTTAAGCAGGGATACAGGTGGACCCATTGCAACAATGAGATGTACAAGACGTTATGTCGAAAAACGAACTTTATAACTTTGGCTGGAGGGGGGAGGGTTGGTGGATGGGAAGGGATGGGAAGAGGAAACAAAGGAGGAGGCAACAACGCTTGAAAAGAAATGTATTCATTACCTTGCCCATGTAATTGTAACCCCTCTGTACAGTATTTTCACAATTAAAAAAAACACAAAAGCTTGCATCTGGAGAAATGTGTGGTATCTGAAACTCTTGAGATTTGATACCATAAGTATAAATGACACTGTAGTGCTCGTTGGTATACTAGTAGCTAACTGTAGTCAATATAAAAGCAAATATGCATCTCAAAAGATAGCATGAAATGAAAAGAGGGTGGCAAATTAATATATAAGGACATAAACACAAATAGATGACATATGTTAAAAAATAAAGCATACATTCTACTTAAATTAATAACTTGCCTCACATTCATAATTTCCTCCTCTTTACTAAGTGAAGAAGGAATATATACATATACTCTAAGACACTCTGTAGGTGAAAGATAAATGACTTCAGAAAACTAATCCCATTCCTACTTTTGTATAAAAATAAACTTACGATCGGTAATAATTGCATCAAAATATGCAAACTTTCTCCAGGAAGGTTTAGCTGCATCTGAAACCAGGACATCGAGGTAATACTTCTCTAAACCATATTGACGAAGGTTTGCCCTGATATTTTCATCTGGTCCTCTCCATTTCTGGTTTTTCCTACTAGCCTTTCCTAAAGAGCAAGAAAAAGCAAGGCAGAGTATTAGATCAGTCAGAACATTTTTATTTCTTGTTGTTTGTCTAAACATAGTGCTTTAATTCACTAAACCCATTTTCATTCACATAAAATTTGCTTTTACTTAAAAGCTTAATTTGTGAACAAAACAAAATATTTTTAAATTTTTTAACTGCAAAAACAGTTTTAAACAGTAAAATGTACCAATGTCTAATTGATCTTGTTCTGTCACCTTTCAATAAAAGTGTCCTAAAATATTCAATACTTCCTAAGTATAAAGTATTTACTGGGTGAGCAGAATATGGCCTTTTCCTGCAGCAATAAACAGTCCCATGAAGAGAGAGGACTGGATCAGATATATGAAACAGAAATGAAGAAAGCTAACTTGGGAAACAGCAGCTGTGACCATGAAGAATGCAGGCAAAATGGAAACATTACTGATGAAAAGTGGGGGTTGAGAGATGGCTGAAAATGTTCAAAGCTTGCAGCTTAGGAGACATAAGTGGAACCCATGATTAGATCAGAGAAACCAGAAGGAAAAACAAGCTTAGGCAAACAGCTTGAGATAATCATTATATACCTTTAGGTACTTTCAGAACGTTCAGATAGTCAGCTAAAAGAGATAGAAAATCAGTAAGCTCTGAAGTCTGGAACATATACACAGAGTGATATCAGTTTATAAACAAGTTAAATGTGTAAGAATAAGTGACATTTTTTTCTTGACCTAGATGTGAATTACATGAGAACTTATTCTATAGTTATTCTTATACATTGATATACTCTCGTATTATGACCTATTTGATGATAAAAACAAAACTTGAAAATCAAAAGAATGATATGACTGAATATCATGCAGTCTGATAGGAAGAGGGGGCAAAGACAGATGACTGGAGAGGAGCAGTATGTAAACAGAGATCAAAGGAAATCATAAGTCTTAAGGAGACAAGAGATAAAACAGAAAAGTAAAAGCACCACTTGATGAAACATTGTCTAGGGAACCAAGGTTTATGAAGGTCAATAACTGTTTTCAGCAGAACAGTAGTCATAGAAGCTAGAAACTAATGGTTGAAAGAGAATGAGAAAAAAAGAGAAATACTAAATATTCAGGAAGCATTTTGGCAAGAGAGGAAAACAAAGGGATAACTAACAGAGGCCTGTAAGATTAATAGAAAAGGCCCTGATCTTCCAAAGTGGAAGAAATATAAAAACATTAGAACATTAGAACACAGGGAGAACTGAGAACTTATTAGGAATTGGATATAGTCTGAAGAAATGATCCTAAATCTGAATCCAACCCTTACAGACGTCCTTACAGCAAATAAGCTGCATCTACTAAAAACAGACCGGAAGTAGTCCCCTGCCTACCCTAACATACTGCACGCAAACACTATCCATCCCTTTCTGGTGAGCCTACTTATGTATACTGTTACAAATATTAACTCATTTTTCCTCAAATTTCTTAGGGTCAAGGTGAGAAAAAAGGTCACCAGTACAAGTACTGAGTGAAGAATGATACAAGCAGCAGGCATCAGTGGCTCACACCTGTAATCCTAGCTATTCAGAAAGCTGAGAACTGAGACTCACAGTTCAAAGACAGCCCAAGCAGGAAAGTCTGTGAGATTCTTAGCTCCAAAGTACCAAAAAGCCAGAAATGGTGCTGTGGCTCAAAGTGATAGAGCACTACTCTTGAGCAAAAAGCTCAGGACAGTGCCCAGGACTAGCACAAAAAAAAAAAAAAAAAAGGATTTAAGCTACAATATAAAGGAAAAATCTTGGTATTTTGATGTTTCAGATAAAATGAAATATATAATTTAACTCAATTCCATCACTAGTGAAATCTTTGTAATTTTAAACATTTACTGCAATTGCCTCAAAAGCAAAATAGCTTCTTTCTTATCTCAAGTGAATCTCAGTTAAATTTACTGTCATCTAAAGCATTTCAAAGATGTGTTAGTCAGTTACAAAAATGAAAACTTCTGTTACTTGTCTAGCATGTAGTAATCCAATATGCACTCAGTGTAGGATGACTGACTAAATGGATGATGAGAATCTTAAACATACCTTGCCTACTTCATAAAAACAAAACATTTCTTACTACTACTGTAAATAGCTCTGGGACATGAAGGGACTTTTTGTTACTCATACTTGTGTTTTCCCAAATCATTTTGTACCCAGTAGGTGTGGAATGCAGACATTTAATTAAATTTTACTGTAAAAAAAAGGGAAAACTATATTTACTGTAAAGTATAGTAAATTTGTGTTTTAAACACTGAAATATCATAGAGAACAAGTTTATGATTTTTTATGAATAGTATTTATTGTAATTGTGTTTTTAATATATATTTTAATTGTAAAGATATTGTACAGAAGAGTTACATATACATGAGCAAGGATGAGTCCATTTCCTATCGAGCATTGTTACCCTCTCCTTTGTTTTTCCCCTCCCCATCCCTTTCCTCCCCACGCCCTCAACTCCCCTCCACCACCCCAGCAAACTTGTAAAGTTCATTTTCAACATCATTTGTACATCTCATTGTTACAATGGGTCATCCTCTATCCTCATTTCATTGTTGGTGGGAGTGTAAACTTGTTCAACCACTTTGAAAAGTAGTATGGAGGTTCCTCAAAAGACTCCACATAGAGCTCCCCTATGATCCATCAATCCCACTTCTGGGCATTTACCCAAATGATCACAAACAAGACCATACTAAAGCTACCAACACAACTATGCTTACTGCAGCATTATTCATCATAGGTAAGCTATGGAACCAACCCAGATGTCCCTCAGTAGATGAATGGATCAAGAAAATGTGGTAAATATACACAATGGAATTCTATGCCTCCATCAGAAAGAATGACATTGCCCCATTTGTTAGGAAATGGAAAGACTTGGAAAAAATTATATTAAGTGAAGTAAGCAAGGCCCAAAGAAACATAGGTCCCATGGTTTCTCTTATTAGCAATAACTAGTATATGTCTAGGACAAGCAGAAGTGGTCAAAAGCTATGTACAATTTTATGATTTTTAAAGGTGCATTTGATTCAAGAGTAAAAACTGTACCACTATCTGCAAGTTCTACTCACCCAAGCCATGAACTGTGTTGTAGTCTATGTCTGTCCCATATACATATGCACCAAAATGAGCAGAAGCTATCAGAAGGCCACCTGAAACATCACATAATTATCATCTGTTAACCAGAAAAGTAACACACTATTGCTTCTTTCCCAATTAAATGATCCAGAGTCTTAAACACTAGCTTCGGGCAGAGCACCCCAAAACAACACCAGTCCCAGCTATACCTTTGCAAGCTTTAAAATAAGAAAAAAGGAATAACCCTCTAAGCTCAACTCACCAAACTGGCTAAAAATCAGTCTATTCTGGCACTGCTACTTCACACACACCACATAGAGAACATTAGCTTTTTTTGGGCAAAATAATGTATTTTTAGGCATTTTTATTTTATTTTGAGGTTTATGTAAAAGTACCTTTTTTGCTTCCTTCTTTAAAATAAGCATATAAAGCTACTTATACAAAGAGCTATAAATAAGTAAATTTTGATAATTGAGCTCAATTCCCATTAAATCAGTGTTTCAAATAACAAAAGACACCGTAATTCCTATGTAGAATACCAGTTCTACAAGTTAATACATGTTCTATTTTAAAATATTTTTATATGGTGAAACAACCAAGTAATTATCTTTGGTAGAAACTAAAATACAAACTTTTAAATAACTATTATCAAACATGTTTTATCATTTGTAAGCATAGAATAAAAACAAATGTCCTAAGACAACTTGACCACTCTTAAATAATTTGATAGATAAAACCAATTCAATCACAAAGTCATAATTTTTAAATGAAATCCAAGGAAATACAATCACAAGGTTAAAATTTTTTTAATGACTGCACTTTTCATTCATATTTTTATTCATTCAAATTAAAATGCTTTTTATTGCTTGAGCAAATCCTAACTAGCTCAATATACAAAGTTCTGTCATCTAGTTGAAGTCAGAAATGTATTTTTAGACTACCGATCTGCACAGATGTGGACAAAGGACAAGGGATTCTTTTCTTACATCTTTTTGAAATGTAACCTCAGCAGTCCTAAGATGGGTAGTGTGCCTCCGGAGGGTCAACATCTACAAATGAGTCATGTTCCTTTCATAGCTACTTAAAGCACAGTCTGGTAATGTTACTTAGAATTACTTTGTTCATAAAAATAAGTCAGACTAGTTTTGATGAGAGCCCTTAAGGAAGAGAAATGGAGAACTGAAAGTACAGCAGAAACCAAAACAGGTTCCTCTCTACCTACTGAGTGCAATCATGTGATCTCATGATTCATAATTCGGGAAGGAGCTGTAGATGATGACTTGGAATACTCACAAAGTCATTTCACCCAAATCAGGAATTACTACAATTCTGCCAATTAAGGCAGATACTCACCTAGAAGAACTAGTTGTCAAGGGGAACAGATAAGCTTTCCTGTGCTTCCTTAAACAGAACCTTATCCATTTGGTTACAGTGAGTTTTGAGAAGACCCAATTTACAGTACACTGCTGAAAGGAGATGAATAATCTGTTAGACTACATCTGTTAGTTAACTTTGTGCCTTTTAAGCTTTTAATTTAAGATAAATTGCAATAAATTGGCTTCTCTGAACTAGTGACTGTGAACTCACTGTTAATCATTTAGTAGTTCTTTAAGTTGAAACATTTTTGCATTTCATTATACCTCAGCTGGAGTTTTCTTAGAAGCTTTTTGGTAGAAAAAGGGACAATAAAACAAGAGGGTGAGATGTTGAGGAGGCAAGTAATGGGTCTCATCATTTCTTCTTATGTTATCAAAGGTAAAAATACCTCATAAGTGATGTAGACTAACAACTCGTTTCAATAGCTCATTGCTTAAAGTGGAACCATTTTTAGGTTAGGGGAATATCTTATTAGCAAAAAAAAATCGGGTAAGTGGACTTTATTTCATGACAAAGAAATTAATTCATGATTTTTATCTTTAGAGAATTAAACAGAAAGATTCAGGAACAGAGGAATACAAAAACTTGTGGACACAAAATGAAGCAGATAATGTTACAAAGACCTACTGAGACACACTAGCCTCTTTTCTTTCCTGTAGTCTGATACAGGACTAAGACAGTTTCCTAACACCTGAGTCCTGTGGCTGTCTATCCATTTTGCAATGACAAAATTCAGAAGGAACTATAAACTCTTTTTCTTATACCTATGAGTCATTTAGAGGTCAAGAAGGCCAAGAAATATGTATTAGTATCCTGAGTATATTCTCATTACTAGAAGAACTGACTTAAGAGATAAAAAAGAATCAAACCTGCAGCATCAGAGCCTTATTGCTACTTAGAACAAAGAAATATTCATTTATGATTTTAAGCCTCAATTTCCTTGTTGCTACACCAGCTGCAAATTATGAGTATTTTTTCAAATTAGCCAAAAAGGAAATTAGAAAATCAATTCACAGTTTAATTTTTAATCATCAGCATTTAGTATTAGCTGTACCTTAGTCTTTTACCAAATAGGAATCTAAGTGCTGAACAAAATAATAATAAATGATATCCATTGTTTATGAAATGTCTATCATCCTAAAAATGGCAACATCCTAGGAATATTATCTAATTATCTACGTCATTTAATCTTCATAATCATCACAACTGCCAGCTTAAAGAAGATGGAATTGTAATCCAGACAAGTAAAGAATCTTGCCCAAAGTTAAGTATTAGGTGTACGTAAATATGTCAAACCTTATCCTATGTGATCTTTCTTTATACTATGCTAACTCTTTTGAAGTCAGCACCAACTGTAACAAGAATTCATTAGCTTGCTTCTGTACTTTGGATATTAAATAACTTCCCCCTCCCTGCAATGTGTTAAAAGCTTTGTGTCCTCAGGTTGGTGCTAAAACTCGAAGATAGCAAAACCTATAGGAAGTGAGGCTTAGCTGGAGGTCATTGGATCATTGTGGGGTATGATCTTGAAGGGGACTGGGAAACTCTAGCCCTTTCTTCTTTCTCTTCTTCCTAGCTATGAGATGAGCAGTTTGCTCTACCACGTGCTCCGCACACTGCCCTCTGGCACCCAACAAGAAGCAAACAGCAATGTATCCATGGACTGAAACTGTGAGCCAAAATAAATCTTGTCTCTTTATAAGTTAATTATCTCAGGTACTCTGTTACAGTGAGAGAAGGCTTACTAACATACCAATTCAATAAACAATAGCAGATTTGATACTAAACAACCTGAAATAAGTAAAACAATAAGTGAGTAACTGTGTATAGCATATCAAGTCTTGTACCATATCACAGAAGGACTAGGCCATTATAGGTATTCTGTACATTCATGATGATTATGTCTTTAGCTATTCTCATATCAGAATAGTAGCATGTTCTAACTGCTGAGAGCTGACCCAATGGTATATATCTTTCCTGTTTGAAAAACGGAGGCATATATTATTTTTTTAAAAATTACAAGACTGAAATGAGAATATGTTTGCTAAAACAGAAATGAAAGCGTGTTTTCTGAGGCTCATAATGTCATTCTAAAAACATAGTAGCAAATTAAAAGAAAAAGCAGAGGTATTGAGTCAGGGGACAATTTCTAAATTATTCTATAACCAGAAAATCACAAGCACTGAGTAACCCATGGGTACAACTGAGAGACTGCATACATTTCAACTTGGTACCATCAAGGTAGAAAAGGGAAGCCAGGAGCTGATGGCTCATGCCTGTAATACTAGCTTCTTAGGAGGCTGAGATCTGAGGATCATTGTTCGAAGCCAGCCCAGACACAAAAGTCCATGAGACTCTTATCTCCAATTAACCATGAGAAAATCAAAATACCTCAGGGACAGCACCCAGGCCCCAAGTTCAAGCCTCATGACTTGAGAAAAAAAGAAAGATGGTAAAAAGGAATAGCTATATTTGAACTTTAAAAATTCTTTAAAAATAAAATCAAAAGTAAAAACATCATCAAATATTTTATGATAACCTACGGCCATGAAGGATGGCAGAGAAATATTTATTTCTCGAATCCTTCAGAAGGTACTATCTGTTTGTGTTTGTGTGTGTTTGTATCAGTTTCTTAACAGAAAAACTAAGACTCCACCAGAAAACAGTGAAGATGGGGGGAGAGGGGATAGGAAGAGTGACTCTCCTTTCAGTGCACCTTATGATACAGTTCTACCTTATCAAAGCAGTTAACGTTCTATATACTTAAAAACAGAATAAAACAAAAACAGGCAGGAGATTAAAAACCTAAAACTAACACCTAAGAGCAAACTGAAACAAATGATCCAACTAAATTTTAAATGAAGAAGAAAAAAAAAAAACCAAGAACAGTATTTAGCTTTATAGTTCCTTAGGGTAGATAGTGGAAAACATATTTTGAATTCTGCTTTTTATTTTTGATGGCACAGACAGAAATTCTGCAACTATTTTAGATATATTAGAGAATAGCAGAGAAGTGCTAGTGTGGACAGCAGCCAGGGTTCTTCCTATAGTAGCAGGTACATACAAATATGGGAATGGGGAAAACAAAAAAAGACATTAAGGATCAATATTCTTACTAATATTGCAAGCTACACTATAGCTATGTGGAAGCATACATCTATATTTTAAGTAATTTTTGTTGAGATATTTGAGAATGGTACAGAAAAATAATGCTATGTATATGAACAAAACTAGAATAATGAGAAGCAAATGAAGCCAAATGTTAAAAACAGCTTACAGTGGCTTAGACTATATGTGCGCTCTTTCTTCTACTTTCATTCTTATAACTGTTCTATAAGTTCGATGTTATTTCCAACAGAAAACTTAAAATATGGGAGCGAAGACAACACTTAGGGTAATAAAGACAGAAGAAAAAACAAAAACAAAAACAGCATGCTGAGGGTGGGAAATATGGAGATACTAGTAGAGTAAGGTACAGAGACCCCCTACTAAGGAGCTAATTCAACAACCAATACCGAAAATTTTCACACTGGTTAGAAATCTCTTGATGAGAAATAATTTCTTCCTAGTCATCTATGGTCACATTGTGATATAAGGGTTGGCAGAAAAAGACCTAGTACGAAAAGCAACACTAAAAAGAGGTTAAGAGTGTGAGTTCTAGTTTGACTACATAAGTTTCAACCTTTGAAATACATATATTGTGCCCCTTGGCCATATCACTTAAGCTCCCTCTCCTCCTTCAGAACATTTTAATAAGTATCTCCATATTAGCTGTCCCAAGAGTTAAGTTAGAGAGTAACAGAGTGTACAGCCTAAATTATGACATATTTACCATTCCACAAATACTAGCATCGTATCCTCATTGCTCAGAGAAAGATGGCTAGAGGGGGAGAAACATTAACAATACACTGAATCACCTGGGGTCAGTCAGAACAAATTAAGTATGAGTACTTCTTAAATATGGATAACACCAAGCAGGGAAAACTCTTCAGAGTCAGATGAAGAATGTTTGAAATTCAGCATCTTATATACAAACATATTAATCCAATGCAGGCAGGGCCCAGATCATGTTCACAGAAGGAAAGCTCCGGTCCACTAATAACAGAGTCCATTTATTTCCATACTTAGTTATAAATTCCCAAAACCAAATCAAAGATAAACTGTTTTAACTACTCTCCATCCAAATATATGGGTATGTACTTAACATGAGTGTCTTTCTTTCTTAATCTTTTCACTCAACTCTTTATTTCTTCCAAGGCTTTTCCTATTTTAATAACTTCTAAGGCTTTTACAACATTCCTACAAAGTATGCTCCTGAAAGTTTTCTGCTGTAAAAATTATCCTAATGCTCCCTCTAGTGGCTTGCATGGCATAAGACCTATAAGACCTACAAAATTCTAATCAGCATCATCTTTGAAGTAGCAAAAGTGTTTACATACTGGCTATTATACATGTATGAGGTTACCTCTTAGTTACTAACCAGTGACAAAAGATGATTCAGTCCACTTAATCTATCACCAAAATGTTAACTACTATACACAAGTAAAATCTCTACTATAAGTCTAATAATGAATATAAAATACCTGTTCCAACAAATGGATCAAAGACAATGTCATTTTCTTTCACTTTTCCATGGTTGACCATGATGAATGATAAACCAGCATCCATGCTTGTATTTCCAATAAAATGTCTCTTTTTGACACTATATGACTCAATCAGCTCTCTCTGTCCATCCGCAATCTAGACCAAAGATATTTTTCACATTAGTGCAACCACATAAAATAGATTTAAAATAATTGTTCACAACAAAACTACAGCATTGTGCTGGTAAGAACTTCTTTTTAACTTACTACTGCTCTAAATTTCTTCCTTTAAAATAATGTGGTTAAGACAATTATGGATACTTTTTTCTTGCCAGGGATTGACTATAAGCTTTCCCCACCTATTGTTTCCTAATAACAACAATCAACAAGATTAAGTCTCATTTCACTCACCCACTTACAGCTTCAGGAAAATGAGAACTATTCTGCAGTAATCCCATTTGTTTTCAGGATGGAAGACCTAGACTTGGGATCTAAAGCCTTGATCATAGCACTCTGCCTTCCTCTGCTTTATTTTGAAAAGACAGTCTAGATTTTCTGGGTAAACTGCCCTTTAAATCTTCTCTTAATATTGCCATTTATACCTTCTTTCTAGGTTTTACATCTGTAAGACTCTTATACTTCACAGGAACCTGTGGAAAATGATAATCACATATTTTTCATTGATTGGAATCCATACAAGAATTTCAAAATTTTAGCTCCTTTAAAATCATACATATAAAACATTTATTTTTGTTATTTTATTTCACTTTTTATTTTATTCTGCTCTATTTTACAACTCTGAAGACTAAGCCTAGAGCCTCATGCATGTTAGGCAATTGCTGTACCACTGAGCTATTTGGCTTCTTTTCTCCTGGACAGAAGCTTGAACTGAAGGTGTCACATACTTGTTCAGCATTTTCACTCACAGCTCAAGCTCTATACTTGAGCCACACCCCCAGTTCCAGCTTTTTGCTGATTAATTAGAGAAGAAGAATCTCCAGGAATTCTTTTACCCAGGCTAGATAGGAGCCACCAGAGTCCAATCACATTTAGCTTTTAAAGGAACAAAATGAGATAGGGTAGAAATAACACTTGCTTACCCATCTACCAAAATAAATATTATGTGGATTCTCGGGTATGCAATTTGGGTCCAAACCATAGTCCTCTAAAACAGAGAAGATATGTTGTGGTTTCTTTAAGTCTACTTTTCCTTCAAATGGCAGAAATTCAAGTGCCTAAAAAAATAAAAATAAAAATCATTCAAATGTCCTATGAAAATTTACAAGAAAAATAGTGTTTTATCTAACAATACCTACCATGTACACCTGGTGTCAGCATTAAGTAAAATAAAACATGCAAGTGCTTAGTATAAAATATACATACTTCACAGACATTTCATATTCTCGTATTTTGATAAAGTATTCTACTAAATCAATAATATCTAGACTACATAAAATCTGTAATTTTTTTGGTTTTGCTAAATTCACTTACATCTATTCTTTTGATTTTTTCTTCTTGTGTCAATGTTTTATTGAATGTGTGAATCTTTATCTTATACGTAGAATCTGAATGTAGATATGGAACCTAAAACAGAAATAGGTTAAGTTTTTAACCTTAGGAATTCTACAGAATCTACACATTTATGCCCATATAAAACCACATTTCACTACACACCATCTTATCCACAGGGTAATTTTTAAGAGACGTATACAACTCCTCGGGAGATTTTCCATGGCCCCACAGTTCAAAAATAGACCTAGGAAATAAATAATTGGAACCTCAGTAAAGAAGTTAGTTCGAGCAGTAATATATAACAAGTTATTTTACTAGCTCATCATGCTTGCTTAACTAAACAATTATTACTATGTTTCTAAGCTGTAAGTGAAAAATACATAGCCTGGAAACAAATATAACAAGTCCAGCTACACAAAGAAGTTGACTCATAAAAGAGGGACATTCAATATAAAATTGCTAGGGAATAAGCCCAAGGTAGATAAGCCCATCACTGTATTTTTGCACTAGATTAAATGTAAAATCACAAGGTATTTTAGTAAAATGGATGAAAAGTTACAAAGAAGTCCAATTTTTCCTCATAAGACAAAAAGGAACCATAAAAATGGCACAATTAACATTTATTATTATTTGCTAATACTTATTAAGTAACAAAATATTGAGATCTCTAACAAAGGCAGGTACCTAGAGACTCAATTCTCAGTTTCTATTCTATCATGAAAAATTCTCAATTTAATGTTGGAAATCTATGCAAATATAATCTTGAAAGTGAATTCCCCTTTTTCTTTTTTTTTTATTGTGAAAATACTGTACAGAGGGATTACAATTACATGGACAAGATAATGAGTACATTTCTTATCAAGCATTGTAGCCTCCTCCTTTGTTTGCCCTTCCCATTTTCCCCCCCTCCCCCCCAATCCTTCCTCCCCCTCCCCCGCCCCTTTTTCTTACTATTGTGGGACAAAGACCTCCATAGTTGTACTACATTGCTGTTCCTTTGTTGTATATATTTTAGATAGGCCTTACTATGTAGCCCATGTGGGCTACAGTCCTCTTGCCTCCACACAAGTGCTGAGATTATGGGTGTACACTATCATGTAACACTATGTTTTTTGGGGGGTTTTTTTTGGTCCATCATGGGGCTTCAACTCAGGGTCTGGGCTATCCCTGAGCTCTTTTGCTCAAGGCTAGTACTCTACCAATTACAGTTAGAGCTTCACTTCTGTTTTTTTTAGTGGTTAATTGGAGGTATGAGTCTCACAGGGACTTTTCTACTATGATCATCTGATCTCAGCCTCCTGAATAGCTAGGATTACAGGTATAAGCCCCTGGTATCAGCAATAATACTATTCTTACTTAGAAATTCTTCATGTATGCCTCAGCAAGACAAGTTACAATAAAGATATACAACAAGAAATCATTATACATGACATAATATTATGCAATTATTAATTCTACTGATCATCAAATAGATGACTCAGAAGCCATGAGCTTTAAAAGGACGTAACATATGTGAAAATGGAACCAAGTATATTGAGATGACGGATGGGACTCGGACAGATGGGATCAGAAAGATGGAAGGGGTGACACTGATCAAGATGTATTGTGTACATAAAATGACATGTTGAACTGAAACTCCTTTGTACAACTACTTTAGGATAATTTAACTTTTTAAGTATAAAGATAGTGATTTTTTTCTTTGTACTCATATAACTATTTTACACCTAACAAGCCTTATCTTTGGAAGCACCTCATAGAACATATAAGACATAATAGTAATTAATTATTCGAAGGATATTTTTTAATTACATTCTAGGGACTGAACTCAGTTCTATTTGCTAGGCATGCACTCTACCACTTATGCCCTATCATCAGTCCTACAGTCATTCTTATGTAATAAACAGACCCATTAACAAATCTCCATTTAAGAGGTAAGATTTGAGGTGGTAGCCAATTTAATAGCATTGTAAACCATTTTAATAAAAGTAGATATATACAAATTCCTACTTGCATTGTATTATTCAATACACTCTAAAGAAAAGGTTTTTAACCATCTGCCAACAGGTTCAGGAAAAAAATAAAAGCAAATATTGATCAAAGAAACAATTTTGAAGGAACAAACAATAGATGTTAATGACAAAATCTAGAACGAGAAGCTTGATTAATTTATACTATGAGTTATCACTGGAATTTATTTCTCTAGCAAAAAAAAATTGAATGTATGCATGGCAGTCGTTGCATTTGTCATCTTACAGTTTACCAAGCTGCTCACCCAACTAAAAATGATATTTTTATTCCTTTGGTTACAATTAAATTTAGCAACTAGCCTATGTAAAAATATATTATATATATATATCATAGTTCTGAAGACGAGTTTCTACATTTCCCTTCTCACTCTGTTTCAGTACTTAACCCTCCTCCTTTCCCTATCCACAGGAAAGGCATGGGATTGGAAGCTAAACTTATTCCTCTCCATAATCATCCTTTTTACATTATACTGTATGGGAAAAAAAAATTGGGCACAGTAGTTACATGAAGTATGGTATATAAACATGCAGGAGAACATGATGTAGTTTCTCTTACTTGGCACAAACTGTCCGTTTCATTAAATTTCTTGCAATATCTTCAGAGGGAATGTTAAGAATCCAAAATGGAGACTGAAAGAAATAACAACTTCTTTACTTCTTAACAGCTACAAACTTGATATGCTTTGATTCAAGAAGTCAACAGGAAAAAGTCCTATTTTTCTACCTCCATGTAATACCTGATCTGATTCTAATCAAAATTGCAATCATGGACAGTAAAAAGGTAAATTATTTTAATACTGCAATGTAAGAACCTTTTTTTTTTCTTTTGGTTGGCCGTGGGGCTTGAACTCTGAGCTTGGGTGCTGTACCTGTGCTCTTCAGCTCAAGGAGAGTGCTCTACCGCTTGAGCCACAGCACCACTTCCAGCTTTCTAGTGGAGATAAGTGTCTCACGGACTTTCCTACCCGGGCTGGCTTTGAACCATGATCCTCAGATCTCAGCCTCCTGAGTAGCTAGGATTACAGGCGTGAGCCACCAGTACCCAGCTTGTAAGAATCCTTTTAAAAATAACTCTATAAGTGAAAATCTTAATAAATTAATTTAAACTTACTTAATCTTAAGGATAGTTTTGTGTGCTGTTACAAGCTTGGCTACAGAATTAATGAACATTATGTTGCATAGTACAGTTGTAGATTTTTTTTATCATTGGGAATCATTTCTGACAATGTAGTTGTTTTATTTTCTATACTGGTCCTAGGGCTCGAACTCAGGGCCTGGGTACTTGAGCTTTTTTTTGGTAGTTTGTTGGAGAAAAGAGTGTCACAAACTTTCCAGTCCAGGCTAACTTTCACATTCCTCAGATCTCAGCCTCCTGAGTAGCTAAGATTACAGGCATGAGCCACTGGACCCAGCTTATTTTTAACTTCTAAGAAACACATGCCTTAAATTATTAAATGGTCTCTTTTTTTGGTTTGTTTGCTTGCTTATTCTTGGTTTAATTTGGATTTGCTTTTTTGAGAAAGAGTCTCTCACTATGTAACCCAATTAACATAGTTTGAAATCACACCTCCTGAGTGCTAGGACTAGAGTTATGTAGCCTTTTCTAGTTCTGGCCACCTGAAAGGTATGTAAGAGGCCTAGGAAATAGAAAGTCATGAGGTTTATTACTATCATTAACTTTTATTATCATTTTGTCTAAGAACAAAAAAGTTCCAGGTGGATTAGGAAGAGTTTCTCAATCATGTTGTCTCAAGACCCAAGAGAATAAGAACTGGAGAGAACTACCCTGAAAATCCCTGCCAAAAAACACAGCCAAGCAAAGGAGTACCTCCACCTCAGCTCATCATCTCATCCACTTATATCTCACTTTTTTCAATAAGGAAGACACTCAGAAATAAAACTGTAACACCAGGGGACTTAAAATTTAGAACTTTAATCTCTGTCATACCTTATCTTTCTTCTTTCAGTATTTACTCTAGCTACAGAAAAAAATAATAATAATCCAAACAGAAGAAAATGATCATTTTTAGTACTATTTTATTACAAAAAATGTTAATGTAACTTGAATTAAATGAAAAATCAGATAAATTTCATAGATCTAAATATGTAGCCATGTTAGTGAGGAAGGCACATGTGCCTATATTAATACTATCAAATGAAAACTGTATATTGCAGAAGTTCACAGTAAGTCGTATTACAACTCACAAGGAATGAAGTACATGACAATGACTAAAAGTCAGCAATACCCCCAAAACTAAGAGTCATGTCAAAGAGAAAGACATATGAATTTCATTTTCTATTTTCCAAATTTATCTAAAACACTAACAACCTATAATACAAAACAGTAGAAAGCTCATCAATTCACAACCTTACATAATGCATAATTTTAGATTTTTTTTTTTTGTCGGTCATGGGGCTTGAACTCTGGGCCTGGGTGCTATCCCTCAGCTCTTCAGCTCAAGGCGAGCGCTCTACCACTTGAGCCACAGCAACACTTCCAATTTTCTGAATGGCTTATTAGAGATAAGAGTCTCACGAACTTTCCTGCCTGGGCTGGCTTTGAACTACAATCCTCAGATCTCAGCTTCCTAAGTAGCTAGGATTAGAGGTGTGAGCCACAGACACCCAACATAATTTTAGATTTTTAAAATGAGTCCCAATATAAACCTAAAATTCACCTAAATTCTAATTCTGAACGTAACTCATTAGTGATTGTCCCTTTTTATCTATGAAAGGATATACATTACTGTGTAACCGTTGAATGAGAAATTAATACTGCTCGTTTTGTAGCTTAATTGTAGAGCACTTGCCTAGAATGTATGATGCCCTAGACTTGACCCCAGCAATGAAAAAATAGAAAATAAGAAAGGAATAAATAAATAAATAAAATGGAAGTAAATCTAAGCTACTTCCCAAAGCCAAAATATTTTCCAAAATAACTTATTCAATGCCTTTACAGATACAAATAATCCGCCAAACACTAATTTAGGTTTTACAGTTCTCACTAAATCTATTTATAAGTAGACTACATGTGCTCTAATAAAAATTTACCTCACCTTTCCATAAGTTTCCTGAGTATTGGTGAACTGGCCTCCAAAAAGAGAAAGCAAAGACTTTATTTCCTGTGTTGGAAATATGATAGAACATATTATAAACACGGATTCAATATCTGTTAAGAGCAATAGGTTGAATATAATTAATATCAATCTAATATATATTGACACTGATATCTACCCAAGGCATTTAGGTTTCAAATCAGGTTCAGAAGTCATTTTATAGTCACAATAATGGTTAAGTAATTTCCGAAAACCTTTAAACAAGAGGGTTGACTTAAAAAATAAAAAAAAGACTCCGTAAGTAAATAATCTTCACTTTGAAAAGGACAAAAGAACAGATTACAGACATTATGATTAGTAAGCTTGATAATTAACAAAAATAAAATGAAATAGAAAACATTATTTGAGGACATTTAGAAAGGAATCATTACCATAGAGACATTAAGCACAAGTACATCAAGTTAACCTTTCTTCATCCTGCAACTAGAAGGAAAGCTAATTCAACAGGTACTTTAAGTGCACCAGGATTGCAAAGCTGAAATCGAGTCAGTGTATTTTTTCCTTAAAGTCAATCATGAAATACTAAAAACATGAGATGACTATACAAAAACACAATTTGTACCACTAAAATTGTCTCCCTAAAAAACATAAACCAAGTAGAATACCATTCCTCTGTACAGGTCTGTGGAACAGGTAACCTAATGAGAACTAAGTATCCTCAGGGCTGGCTGCTAACCATCAAGGAGACTTTATTTACTCCAAGCCCACTGTGAGCCACAGCAACCACGAGAGAGAGTACACTCATACTACCAAGTTCCCCACTCCAAGATAAAAAAGAATAAGCACCCAACACCACTATTTTTCCTTGGACTACACATCTAATCATATCTTATATTAGAAAGATTTGAATTCAGTTCAACTACACAGAGTTTAGTTATTATCAGTAAATTAGTGAAGATAGCCCAAAGGATAATTTGCAATACAAACTTGAATAGTAGACATTAGGAGACAAATTAATTTTCAGATCAAGAAAATCAACTCCTTTGTAAGTTTTCTCATGAGTAAATAAAAATTACAGCTATGTTATGAAGTTAAGATATCTATACAAAATACACAGTCTCAGGCTATTCATTTAAGGAAATCAAGTTGATGAAGAGTAATATCATCTCTTAAGTCCAGTGGCTGGAAAAATCCAGCAAGGCCAACAGAATCATACTTAAAAGAAAAAATAAGGTGGGATTCCTTTTTAAAATAAAAAAATTTTAATAAGTTTTTTATTGTGAAAATACTGTACAGAGGGGTTACAGTTACATGAGCAAGGTAATGGGTATATTTCTTATCCAGCATTGTTGCCTCCTCCTTTGTTTTTCCCCTACCAACCTGTCCCTCCCACCTCACACCCCACACCCCCGCCTAAACTGTAAAGTTCGTTTTCCGACAAACATCTTGTACATCTCATTGTTGCAATGGATCCACCTGTATCCCTATTGTCAGACTCAGTGACTAACACTTCAGCTACTCATGAGGCTGAGATCCAGAGGACCATAGTTGTAGGGGCAGCCTGGGCAGAAAAATCTGTGAAATCCCATTTCCAAAATAACCAGCGAAAAAAACAAGGCTAGAGGCATGTCTCATGTGGTACAACACCTGTCAAGTAAACAAGCCAAGTTCAAACCCCAGCACAGTCAAAAAAAAAAAAAAAAACTAAAACTAATACATTTGGCACTTATTCAAAAACTAAACCCAGGATCCGGATGCCCATGGCTCACACCTGTAATCCTAGCCATGAAAAGCTGAAGGAGATTACCCCCACGATGCGGGAGGGCGGGGGGGCAGTATAAGAAAAGTTCCACACATTCCATTACAGACACTCTGAAAATGTCACTTGAATAAAGGCACTTCTCCAGTTTTCTACCATCTGAATAACATCGCCCCCCAGCACCCCACCGAGCTTGGACCGTAAATTCTGACCCTTAAATCATGACGCAGAGCACTCCTGTGGGACACCTCCACCCTCCCCGGGCCGCAGCAGGCCCGGGCCGGAGGGAGGGGCCCGCATGGTCACCTTCCCAGGGCCGCTAGCAGGGACTCGCGCAGATCAATCAATCGGGTCTCGGTCTCCCCGCACACACCCTCCGCCCAGTCCAGACCCCTCATCTAGTGGTCCGAGGGGGGGGCGGGTAAACGTGTGTGTGTGTGTGTGTGTGCGTGCGTGCGTGTGCGCGCGTGTGTGATCCGCTCAAACCAGCGGAGACCCCCCCAGAACGGCCGTGTATTCGGAGAAGGCAGGTGGAATGCAGCCATGACTCCACCCACCCCGCCCGAGGATGACCTCTCCGGCTGGGGAGAGTGCCTCACTCACCGGCAGCCGGAACTCCAGGTGCTCCTGGGCCATGAGCAGAAGATACCTGTTCAGGTGGCAGGATGGCGCCATTGCAGCTGCCTGGGAAGCGCATGCGCGGCGCCCGAGCGGCCCCACCCCTTTCCCCCGCTCCGAGTCGCTTCCGGCTGAGGCGGAACCCGGAGAGCCGGAACCGGAAGCCTGGCAAGGCGGGTGGTCCTGGCTTTCGGTGTGCTGGTCGCCGGGCCTCGTTTCTCCAGCTCGGGTAGGCGATGGTTGGAGATGAGTTGTTTTAAGAGTAGGTTGGCGGGCTGGGAAGGTGGCTCAAGGGTCGAGTGCTTGCCTAGCCTGGGTTCGATTCCTCAGCACCACATAAGCGGAAGAAGTCCGAAGTGGCGCTGTGGCTGGAATGGTGGAGCGCCAGCCTGGAGCCGAGGGGCTGAGGGGCAGCGCCCGCCCGAGAAGCCCTCTTCCCAGGGGTAGCCCCGACTCTCCTGTGCAGTTGGCTCCTCCACATCTCTTTCACAACTGGACCAAAGCGTCAGCTTCTCACGTACCGACTCCCATCCGCATCCTGGGACTCTAGGGCTGACTCGCCTGCACCATTTAACATGTGGTATATACTTCTTTATTTTTCTGAAAACCTTACAATGGCATGCGCCTTATGTGGTTGACACACTGGGTCCAAGCGCAGGAAAGAAAGCTGCGAAGACTAATGAATTATATTGAGGGTAAAAGGTGAGGTTATTAAAAAAAAATTTAACTGCATAACCAATTCAGTCATTTCTTTCTCACTGTTAGTTTCAAAGCTACCACTGAAGAACTGTGATGGAGGCTGTGTTAGCAATGGGAGGCATATCCAAGGCAAGAGTGTAAAGCCGGATTCAGAAATCCCTACCCAAAAGACCACTAGAGACCGTCACCAATGTAAAAGCAAAGGACTCTTTATTGCAAGCTTGAGCTTTGCATACATCATAACTTCTTGTAACAAATAACTACAAACTGTGGGAAAATCCTAAAACAACTCTATAGTATGATTGGCGCACTACAAAGCGGGAAAGGACCAGAAACAAGTTGTTGGTTAGATCAAGGGGGCTGACTTACTTTAAACTGGTTAGCTTGCACCACAGGGGAGTCTCAAGAGGATAGGTGCTAAACTGCAGGGTGTCTGGTTTAGATACTGGTCACCAGACCCTAAGAGGGGCTGTTCAGGAATTTCAGATATTGTAATTCCAGGCATTGGGGCTGAAGTGGGTCAGGGATTAAGTTGCAGAACTGAGATGGGGGTCTTAAGTGAAATGGAGTTGCTTAGGTTCCTCAAGAGAACATGAGTGTGAGAAAAGGCAGGGAGACACTAGGTTGTGAGAGAATTAACTGTCAAGGTGAGACCCTGGTGCCAAACTTTGTATATCTGAGGTTAAACTGCTTTAAGAGTTTGTAGGCCTAAGAGAACACTCAGGCACATCATCACATTTTATTAATGCAAATATGTTGAGCACACACTAAACAAGGAGGAAGCTGCTGTTATGGACAAGAAATAACTTGGCCAAGATGACAGTAATGTAAGTGGTGGGAAGTGATCACATTCTGATTATCTTTTGAACAAACTGCCCAAAAGTTACATATGAAGTGTGAGAAGCAAAAGTCAAAGATGCTACCGCAGTTTTTGGCCCAAGCAACTGACTAAAGCAGCCATTAACAAAGTTATTGGGAAAACAAAATGGGCTGAAAGAGGAACATTCTAAGCTTAAGATGCACTGTAATACCGTAACTTCGGTATCTGGCTTATGTATTGTGTGATTCCTAATCATAGATCCATTTCTTACAAGATTTTAAGCAACTAATCATAAAATGAGGATCTGATTCTCCAAAATCAGAGGTAGTCTTAAGTGTTTTTGAGTCAGAGATTTTTAAACATTTGTATTTCTACAGTAATCAAAAAGTATCATCTTCATTGTGGTGAATTTGAATACATGTATAGAACATATAATAAAAAATAGCCAAAAAATAAAAATTTTTAAAAATTAGAAAAATAGCCATCAACAATTGTTATACATTAATTCTGACATAAAAATCTAGAAGCATGACTGTTAATAAAGACTGCCTCTGGATTCTTTTTATAAAAGAAGAGCTGTATCTCCATCTCTTAACAGTGAACCTTTTACAAAATGTGTTGTCAATTTGTCAAGGACTTTAAAAAATTTTTTTATTATGAAAATACTGTACAGAGGAGTTACAATTACATGGGCAAGATAATGAGTACATTTCTTATCAAGCATTGTTGCTTCCTCCTTTGTTTCCCCTTGCTATCCCTTCGCATATCCCCCCGCCCAAAGTTGTAAAGTTTGTTTTTCAACATAACGACTTGTACATCTCATTGTTGCAATGGGTCCACCTGTATCCTTATTAAAACGATTTGTTTTTTCCCTTCCCCTCCACAAATTATACCAACATCAAATACAGTGAAAGCAGGGGGTATATCATGGGGGAAATCATATAAGAAATCATTTAGAAGTGGTGCTGTGGCTCAAGCAGTACAGCGCTCGCCTTGAGCTGAAGAGCACAAGAGAGCGCCCAAGCCCAGAGTTCAAGCCCCACGACAAAAAAAAGAAAGAAAGAAAGAAATCATCATCTTACAAATATGGACTTTTTTTTAAACTATGTAGTACTATAGCTTGAGCCTGGTGACCTACTCTAGCTCTCACTCTACAGCTAAGGCACACTTCCATCCAGGCTTTTAGTTAGTGAACAACATATGGGAGTCTTGAAGACTATTCTGCCTAGAACTGGCTTCAAACAGCTATCTTCTGGATTTCAGCCGCCTGAGTAGCTAGAATTACAGGCATGAACCACTAGTTTCTGGTGTGTGTGTGGGTGTGTGTGTGTAGTACTAGAGTTTGAACTCAGGGCCTCACATCTACTCTGGCTCAGCTGGGGCTCTACCATGTAAGCCACATTGCTCTTCAAACACCTTTTGTATAAATCTGGTTTTAGTGATTTTAATAAAAGAGTCCAGAGACAAATTTAACACAGTATTCTTTCATTTTTATTTTATTTTAATATAAGTAGGCACAGATGAAAGAGTTCATTATAGCAATTTTACAGTTTCAGGATTGTACACATGCAAATTGTCAAAAGATGCACAAATAATGCACTCAATACTATTTTGGACATTCCAAAGACAAGTTATGAATTAGTTTTGCTTTAAACTACTGTTATAGATAAGGAATTGTCAAAACAGACTGCCAACAAAAAAGGTTAACTGAATTTTAATTGCAGTGATTTGTAGTAATTTTGTAAAAATGTGTTTACAAGGGTTTTTCCAACATGAAAAAATTATGAGTATAAACCTATCTACATTAAATCAACTAATCCCATTTTCAACGATCAATAAGGCATTTGAGAATTCCTTAAATATCTTCCATTTTTATTGTCATAACATTGCCAATTATAACACTGCACATTCACATAGTAAAATATTCTAAGGTGCATATGATGAAGATTCTTTCCATAAGGCTGGTCATATTTTAACTCAGTTATAGAAAACTACAGTGACTCATTTATCTTAGTGCTGACTGAGCTATTTTAGAAAGCAATGCTAAAAAGTCTATCATCTAAATTAGAGAGCCATAACAACTACTTGTAAATCTCTCTTCCCACCTCAGGGAAATACCCTAAGATTTGGACATCCACATCATTTGTAAAGTAATAGTAGAGGCAGAACATATGGAAGGTACATATGTAATACTCAGCCTAAATTGCCACTGTCTACTTGCCTAACAGTCTTGAATATTCAGCTCTACTTCCAGCTATTCTCAGAAGTTGTGCTCCTCCACCACCTTTTCAGAACATTACTGTACTTGACACATTAAATTAGCACTTCACAAATTTCTACTCATTGATTTTGTGTGGTGTGACCTATGTAGTCTTAGCAATCATTATTTCCTGATCCTGGCAGTATCTGGTACATGTTAAGTGCTCAAGAAATGTTTGCTGAGTGAATAATGAATAAACTAAACTAAATTGATTCTGTATGCCTATAACTAAATATTTCAGAAAGTAGTTCATTATTTGGAAGTATGTATAATATATCCAAACAGGAATGCAAACTTGTAATCTCAGCCTATTTCCAAAAAGCACTCATCTTTATGATCATTCCTATTTGTGTTCATGGCACTATTACACACTGGTATGATACAGGATTAGCTTTAAGTATCTACTTTTCATTCACATTCATTATTGTGACTGTAGATTAGCACCGAAAGACAATTTCTAGGGATACATGCTTCATAAAATGGCACATCAGTTCAAGCCCCACAACCAACAAAAAAAAAAATGACACATCAATAATATTAATTTTAGGTTATTAAATTTTCTTGTCTAAGTCTAGAACTATTCAAGGTCAGAGTTTTTCATAATCAAAGTTAGATCTAACCACTTTTTATTCTTAATTCTGTTTGGTGCAAAAAACATGCTGTGAGGCAAGAATTTCTGCCAGTCTTACTATGTTAATAAAACCATCTTATGCTTTTTTTTCTTCTTTATGTTTTTACAGGTAAAATTCCATTTCAGAATCTGTTAGCAAAATTGCTGCATATTGAAATTTTCTGTCAGAAATTATAACATAGTAGTGATCTCTTATCTAAGGTATCACTTTCTGTGGTTTGCCTTTCCAGTCTGTGGCAAACTGAAAATATTATACTAAAATTCCTGAAATAATTCAAGCATCTTAAATTCCATGCAATTCTAAGCAGCATTATAAAAGCTTACTATCTTACTCCATCCCACCTGGGATGTGAGTTGACACAGTACACATTATCCACCTGTCAGTTATCAAATGGTCATAGTATACTTATTAAGCTTTATTTTATTAATAATAGCCCTAAAGTACAACAGTGATGTTGGTATTATTACAGCATTTGTGTTACAATTGTACATTTTATTATTATTATTAATATCCTATTATATTTAATTTATAAATGATACTTTCATCATAGATGGATGAGGACAAAATAAGAGTATATAAAGGATTTATTATTCTCCTGGGTTTCATACATTCTGAGTCTTGGAACATCATATCCTGATGGGTAATGAAGTGTGTGTGTGTGTACCTGCACTTTCAGACCAATTGATTTAAAAAGATACTAGGATTCACAAATTGAAAAATACCATCTGAAAATGAGTAAGATGTAATCTATACATAATTGCTTCATCAGCAAGATCAGACATTACTAAGTACTAATACTTAGTATTTATAAATTTATATTATTTAGTATTTGCTAAGTTTTATTACTATTTGTTTTAAAATTTTATGTGGAAAAACTATAGATTAACAAGAAATAGCTCCTTTCTTTTGTACCTTTTTAGTAATAAAAATTCTAATGAAGTACTTCATTTACCAGCTTCCTCATCATAATAAATCACTTTCAATACTACTGAGAAGTGAGACTGAACTTTTAAGATACATACATGGAGCCTATCTTCACTGATGAAATTTCTTTTAAATAGAAATTTAGCCACATATTATGCATAAACCCTTACAAAAATAACCATCAAAACAAAATCAGTGACAAAGTATTCATATAACAATTTTAACAGATTGTTCAAAAATGATGTTAAGACTCCTCAGTAATAGTCTTTCATAAAGACCAATAAATCTTAAAATTACAATTAAATTTCAAAAGGACCAAAATATTAGCTCATATTGAGCCAAGGTTAGGAAAATCTTCCACTGTTGATATTTTCATTTTCTTAGTTTTTCAATCAAATAATCCGCCTGTAATTTTAAGAAAACACACAAACATATGTTTTTATCCTAGATGCTAGTGCCTCTATCCAATAATTTTGTTGACATCCCTATTATAGTAAGGATTCCAGAAGAATATGGTAATACATATTCTGTACATAAAAATATCTTATAGAGAGAATCATGATGGGTCACACCTGTAATCCTAGTTAGGAGGCTGAAATTGCAGGACTACAGTTCAAGGCTAGCCAAGGTAATAACTTCACAAGATCCCTCTTAATCAATAAAAAGCTAGATATGGTAAAATGTACAGCTAGATATGAAAATAGGATTATAATCCATAAGTGCCTGGGCATAAACACAAGACACTATTCAAAAAATTACTACAAGCACAAAGGCCTAGGATTGTGGATCAAGTGGTAGAGCACCTGCCTAGAAAGTACAAGGCCTTGGCTTTAATAACCCTCTAACTCTCAGTATCACCTTTAAAAAGGTGAAAAAAATTTTATAGACTACAGTAAAAATACTCTACATTTAATACTGATAGACTGTAAGCTAATTACATACTTAGAAATTTCAATGCAGCAAAGAAAACAAACATAATAGTAATGTTTTAGAAAGCAAACTAGGAAACTTAAATACATATCACTAAATGAAAGAAGCCAATGTGAAAAGGCCATATACTATATGATCCCAATTACAAAGACATTCAGAAAAGGACATAAACTATAGAGACAGGAATATAAGCACTGGCTACCAGGGCCTAGAAGCGGATGGGATGAACAGGCAGAACACAGAGGACTTTTAGAGCAGTAAAGCTATTTAGGACACTGCAATGGTAGAGACACATCTTTATACATTTGTCAAACCCACAGAATATATAATACCAAGAGTGAACTTTAAAATAGTGAGAGGGGCTGGGAAGGTGGCTCAGTGGTAGAGCGCTTGCCTTGCATGCATGAGGCCCTGGGTTTGATTCCTCAGCACCACATATACAAAAAGAAAAAAGCTGGAAGTGGTGCTGTGGCTCAAGTGGTAGAGCACTAGCCTTGAGCTGAAGAGCTGAAGGACAGCACCCAGGCCCAGAGTTCAGGCCCTATGACTAGACCCCCCAAAAAAATAAAATAAAATAAAATAAGTGAGATGATTGCAAGAGTCCTACTGTGGTGAGGGTATAACAATGGAGAAGACTATGCAGGCAGGGGATTCATGAAATCTTATACTCTGCATTCAATTTTGCAGAGAACCTAAACCTTCTCTAAAACATAAAATCTATTTTTTAATTAATGTCTTTGAGTTACATCATTTCAGAAAGCCTTTTGTAATCATCTTTTATAAGCTGAAAATCGAAGAGATTTTAGAATAAATTTTGGTATCTTTATGTTTTCAGCCTCGTATATTATTGGCAATGTCCTAGATTTAAGAGTTCAGATAATCAAAATGACCCATTAACAGATCATATATTTTTTTAAATTATTATTATTTTTTTCCAGTCCTAGGCTTGAACTGAGAGCCCTGAGCCTCTCTATACTTAAAGTTCATGCTCTACCACTTAAGCCACAGTGCCACTTCCAGCATTTTTGAGTAGTTTATTGGAGATAAAGAGTCTCACAGACTTTCCTGCCTGGGCTGGCTTATTACTATTATCCTGGACTTTCTCTCTCTAAAAAAAAATAACCCCAAATATTGTCTATGGATGTAATTCAGTTGTAGGTTATTTGTCTAGCATACATAAAAACCTGGGTTTTAGTCCTAGAACAGAAAAAAAGTTCAGTGTGTTTGTCTATATAGGTATAGATATGTAGTAGGTATGTAAAGCAGTATATTAAAACAAGTGGTTACATCTATAAGAATCATAAATACCTAGTGTTGACAACAAATGAAAAAACTACAACCAAAAGCACAAATACTTTAAATTTATATTGGCATGCTACTGATATAACAATAATACTTACTGTGATAAACCAATAGGAATTTGCTCTATAAATCAACTTTGACAGGAAGCTAAATTGCTTGACTGGCGCCAGAACATGAAGATGTAGGTGAGATATAGTGCAGAATGGTGGTACATGGAATCCCATCCTAAAACAGAAAGATAAGAAATGACTGACAAATCAGTTTTATAATAGTTTAAAAGTACTTTTCAGGTTATATCATGTAACTATCAAAGATATCCAAAACAGATTACCTCACGTAGCCAGATTATTATTCATAGATCTTTTACTATTTTTCTTTTACATATTTCAGAATATTACACACTTCCTCTTCTTTTCGTGTTGAAATTCCCAGTAATAGCAACTATGTAGGAGGATCTTAACAACATATTATGCTTCAGTATAACTTCCATGAATTCTGATGTGGCATTATTTTCTAGTCACTGCAGTCTTTAACATATTAAGCTTTAATTGTACTAAGATATGCTCCTGCAGTGAGTCTTAAAAAAAATTCACTGGATAGTCATTAAGTAGTATTCCATTATTACAAAGTGTAGCCAGTAGATGGCATACTTGCATCTTTAATGAAGTGCTCAATCATTTCAGTAGTAAAAATCAATCATATTACCATTAAAAAAAAAAACCTTCTATTATCACCTAATTTTCTTTACTACTAAGTCAGATAGTAATTATTTATAATTGCTTTGTAAGACACTTATAGACACTTTATAAAATACTTTTTTTTTTTCAGTCGTGGGGCTTGAACTCTGGGCCTGGGCGCTGTCCCTCAGCTCTTCAGCTCAAGGAGAGCGCTCTACCACTTGAGCTACAGCGCCACTTCCGGTTTTCTGGCGGTTTATTGGAGATAGGAGTCTCACAGTGTCTCCTGCCCGGGCTGGCTTTGAACCGTGATCCTCAGATCTCAGCCTCCTGAGTAGCTAGGATTACAGGCGTGAGCCACCAGTGCCCGGCTTATAAAATACTTTTAATAGACAAACAATAAACATTTTAAACCTGATTTATCTTCCTAAAATTCAGTTTACAAATAGTTTTGCAAGTCTGTTTATGATGAGTGGAGCAAAACATATCTATAACAATAAAACCTTGAAATATCTACATTAAAACCTAGAAATATTTGCCTGATCAAACCAGAAATGTCTGGGAGTATAGGAAGAAGTCACAGAAGAACTAAAGAGTAGCTGCAATTCCCTGGGCCTAATAATGTAGATTCAGATATAAAGAACATACTGAAAAGCTCCTACTATTACCTAATAGAACAGACTATGAAACAAGAATCATAAGAAATGGAAGCAAGTGATCTGGAAGTTAGGAGAAACTCAATGGTCCACTCAACAATTTCATTTTAAAGATAGGAAAGCAAAGATAAAATGTTTAAGAATTAGGTGTAGTTGTTAAAATCTATAGTCTCAGCTACTGCTGGGGGAATTAGGGGGCACTGATTAAGGACCACTGATTGAGTCCAAGAGTTCTCAGGCAATAACAATATCCTATCCAAAAAAAAAGTTTAAGACCCTGATTCCAATTAATAAGTGACAGAGCTAGGAAGGAAACTCGGGGCTCTTGATTTTCCAATATGATTTCTAATAAACACTCTGTGACTAGAAAAGATTGTTGTGCTTCAAGTCAAAAGGTCTCAAATACTATGTTCTTTGTCATTATAAAACTTGAATAATTTATAACAGTTTTAAGAAGGTTTTCACACATTTATATGTTACAGATAGGTAGAGCAAGTATTATCTTGGAGAGGCAAAATAACTTGTCCAAAGCCATTTCATTAACATGTATGTTTATATTACTAGAGATTTTTGGAAGATGTTTAGACATGATAGAAAGAAGTGTTATTAAATTCATACTACCAAAGAACTATGTTCTTACATTCAGGAAAAAGTATGCAACCACAGCTAGTGCCAAATACAGTATACAAGTGATGTGTGTGTATACATGTGTGCATGTGTGTGTGTGTGTATGTGTGTGTGTGTGTGTTTTGGTTCTATAGCATGAACTCAGAGCCTGGGCAATGTCCCTAAGCAAAATTTTGATGAAGGCTATACAGAGTGTTTTACTACTTGATCCACAGCCCTATTTCCAAACTTTTTGGTAGTTAATTGGAACTAAGAATCTCAGAGACTTACCTGCCCAGGGTGGCTTTGAGCCATGATCCTAGCTTCTCTGCTTCCTAAATAACTAGGATTACAGGCGTGAGCCACCAGAGTCCAGCTGTTGATAATCTTCTTTATTTTTATATATTTTTATCTTTATTTTTGTCAGTCATAGGGCTTGAACTCAAAGCCTGGATGTACTCCTAAACTTTTTTTGCTCAAGGCTAGCGCTGTACCACTTTAAGCCATAGTGCCACTTCCAGTTTTCTGGTGGTTAACTGAAGATTGAGCTGGCTTTGAAGTGCGGTCCTCAGATCTCAGCCTCCTAAGTAGCTAGGATTACAGGCATAAACCACTGGCACCTGGCTTAATAATCTTTTTTAAAGAGAGATATTTATATTAATTAAACAGCTAATTGAACATCACATGCTTTTTCTCAAACTTTGTTAAATGCTACAGTCCAGGTCAGGAGGCAACAAATTCAAGTTAATTTCATGCTACAAGTCTTGACTTTTTTTTTTTTTTTTTCCTGTCCTGGGGCTTGAATAATGGGCCTGAGTGCTGTCCCTGAGCTTCTTTTGTTCAAGGCTAATGTTCTACCACTTGAGCCACAGAGCCAATTTGACTAGTTTATTGGAATGTGTGTGTATATATATATATACATTGTATATATGTATATATATATATATATATACATTGTATATAAATTGTGTGTGTCTATATACACACAATGTATATATATATGTATATCAAATAGAATATATTATTATATATACATATATTATTGGAATATATACATATATATTTATATATTCAGATGTGGGGCTTGAACTCTGGGCCTGGACACTTTTCAATTCAAGGCTAGTGCTCTACCACTTGAGCCACAGTGCCACTTCCAGTTTTCTGAGTGTTTTTTTGGAGATGAGTCTTATGGACTTTCCTGCCAGGGCTGGCTTTGAACTGTGATCCTCAGATCTCAGCCTCCTAAGTAGCTAGGATACAGGCATGAGCCACCAATGCCCGACTTGGATATTTTTAAATCAATAAAAGTTTTAAAAAGTTCACATTACACACAACTTATATGGTTAAACATACAGAATTTTAAAAAAGAGTATCAATAGCTATTTTACCTACTGATTGCATACACACACACACACACACACACACACACACTTGCCCATCTAAATTATAAGTGGGAATTTTTGGAAGTTGTATGAGTTATTCTACCAATGAACTATAATCTTACTTTCAGAAAAAATTATCAACTTTGCTATGACTGCTTCCCTTCTCAATGTAAATTAACATTTCAAAAATCAATAATGTGTATTTTTCTTTCCAGAACATACACATACCTTACATCTGTAAAGTCAGTGAAATTATTCCTTTCAAGAATGGTTTTTCCAACAGCTACCATGCTCTCAACTATAAAACAGGAAAGAAAAATACATTATATTGTGAGAGATACAAAGGTCACTAAATTTCTATTGTGGTTTTTAAGATCAAAAGTCATGTAAAATAGGTAAATATTTAAACTATAGGTTACTGGAAAGTCTGCTAATCAACAACTGAAATGAAGTTTAAAACTGAGCAACATCACAAAATGCTACACATACAAGGCCATTTTGGATAGCTGTTGAGTAGATTTGTCAAGCAGCTATTTAAGACACCTGATACCAATGATTCTAGTCAGGAGACTAGCTCAACAAAAAAATAGTTTGAATTAAGAAGACAGTATGTTCACTGCAGTAAGATTCCTAACAGTCAGGGGAGGAGGTTGGTCCAACAACATAAAATTTTTAGTTAGATACAAGAAGTTAATAAATATCTTACTTTCTTTATTCTTATGCATACTTCATATTTTTTCTAATGGAAAGTTTGGTTAAAAAAAATCCACCAGATTTTTTTCCTTTTAATCATCAGTGCCATTGCTGATGTAATTCAGGATGGCTTAATAATAAAATAATACTGCCACATCTTACCCAGTTCTATTTGATCTCTGCTTAGATCTTTGCAACTTCCAATATGCTTCTTTGGTACCACAAGATAATGATGGGTTGTTGCTGGTTTGATATCTTTAAAGCAAACTAGGTCTTCATTCTAAAGAGAAAAGGATGTCAGTAAATTTTTAAAAGTTAGGGTTTTGTAACGCTCTGTTGCCTGATCTAAGTATCAGAGATCTTTGAAAGGGTATTGGTTTCTAGGTTCTAGCCCCTTCTGAACATCTTAGGATTATATATGAATTTCAAAATCAGTCTTTAGTTTCTGTCCTTAGATGCTCATTTCTTCCAAAGAACAGAAAGCATCTTCTTATATAAGGTCTATTTCAAAAAGTAACTAAGAATAAAGTTCATTAAAACTTCATTACCAACAATCAGAGTTTTACATCTCATTTTACGTTTTCCAACCCCTATTTAAAGATTACTTCACTCTTTGTATGTACTTTTAAAGGCCTTGCAATAATTTTGCAACAAATTACTAAATTCCTTTTTCCTTTAACTCTAGCAAGGCTGCCATTTAACATATACTTATACAATATTATCTTTTTTAAACATTTTAAAGCAATTACATATACTTTGCTTTATGTATATTTGCCCCTTTCTAGTATTAGGAGTACTGAAAAGCTTAAACAGACTCCAGCTTACTGTAATAATTTATGAGCCCAATCCACATGTGTGGCATCCATTTTCTGGTTGGTAGTAGTCCACACAGGAAAAAGAAAAGGACAGAGAAAAGATAATGTTTCAACCTATTAACACACTGGAGTTTCAGGTTTTCCAAGAGAAAAGTATATCTTCTTTAAACGACATATATAATATAATAATATATAGTCAAAATTAAATTCAGTGTCAGAAAGCATACTTTCTCTCAGCCAAATATCTTGAGTACAGATGAATATCTTGAGTGCAGATGAATTCCCCTATATTCAATTAGAAATGACACTGGAGGCTACTATTTTCCACCACTGTTACAAAATACCACATATAATCAACTGAAAAGGAGGATTCAAGGGAGCTCCTGAAAACCTAGCTATTTAGGAAATGGAGACAGGGAGATTCTGGTTCAAGGCTGGGTGATGCACAGAAGTTTTCAAGACACATTCTCAACCTAAGGCTAGGTAGGCAGTGATGTATATGGTTCCCAGCTACAGGGGAAGAGTACAGTATTGAACATCTGTCATCCCCAGAGACCTGGGGAAACTCCAGGAATAAGACTGTCACCCAGGACAGACAAAGTAAACGGTAATGAAACTCTACCTCTAAAATAACCAATGCAAAAAGAAGCTGGAGGCCTAGCTTACGTGGCTAAGTGCCTGCATGATCCAGCACCAAAAAAATAAAATGATAAAACCTTAAAAGGGAGGAATTTTTTGTCCTGCAATTGCAAAATCAAATTCTGATAACCACCATGGTTTAGGAGAGTTCACAGTGGGCAAGCTCAAAGGAATTTGATTTTGCTTGTATGCTGGTACTTGGTTTGAACTCTGGGCCTGAGTGCTGTCCCTTAACGTTTTCACTAAAGGTTGTCACTCTACTTCTTCAGGTAGAATGCCATGCCACCTTTCGCTGATTAACTGGAGATAAGAGGCTGATGGACTTTTCTGCCCAGGCTGGCTACACCCGTTATCCTCAGATCAGCCTCCTGAGTACCTAGGATTACAGGAAAGAGCCACTGCACCCCAAGACTTGATTTATTTTTTAATTTATTAGAACTATACTGTCTCTGGAGCTGATTCTCTCAGAAGGTGGTGCCTTTAAAAACAGGTACAACCATGTGTATGTGTGCCAGGTATGTATTTTTGAATATCCGGACAGTCTTCCAATCTGAAAATTTCCACATATCCCAGCTAACACTTCAGTGGAAATCACAGGCTGGTAAGTAACAGTTGGACTTCAAACCCACTCCTTTCTTCCACCCTCTCCAGATGTACTCCCAACTATCTGCTTGCACAATTACTACGATTTTCTACACAGTTTTCTTCCTGGAATCAGTGTGTGCAGAATTTAAAACCACTATCTATACAGGAGAAAGAAATTTTAAAAAGAGTGAGAGAACACAAATAATAAAATGCTACTTCATGCCTTGGTATACCTTCAAAAGTGGCACAAGTATTTGACTCTATTATTTACCTTTTCTTCTTTCCAAGAGACACCTCTGTCCTCAAAGTGAAGTCAGTGTCCCTTACGCATCACACACACACACACACACACACACACACACACACACTCACACACACACACACACACACCCCTTCCCTCCCTCCCTCCCTCCCTCCCCAGAGTCCCAGCCCGCCCTCGCGCCTGTCGCCGCCCACCTCGCAGGGCAGGAGCTCCGTGGGTTCCTGCCGCCGGGCGATCCGACAGAACACACAGCTGCCGTCGTAGTCCCCGGTGTCCGGAGATTTCGCGGCAGCGCCGGAGTTCTCCGTCGACGCGGCCACCGCAGGCCCGGCAGGAGCCACCTCCTTAGGGCCGGGAGCTGACTCCAAGCCGGGGCTCACCTGCTCCTCCGCCATCGCACCTGCCCCTGCCGCCCAGGCCCGGATTCTCCACGACTACTGGGCCTGCGCGGGGCCCGCCGTCCGCACCGCCTCCGTGTCACCTCGAGGAGTCACCCCTCGCCTGGCGGCGCTGGGGCAGGCAGAAAAGGGAGCGCGCTGGCCACCCTGAGCGCCGGAAGAGGGCGGGCGAGGCGGTCGCGGCCGGCGAAGCCCGCTGCCGCCAGGGGGTGAGCGAGGGCGCTCGCCAGGGACCGCCCCACGCGTCTCGTCGGGAGTGACGCACAGCATGCGTCCGCGCTTCGCGATGACGTCACCGCGGCGCGGTAACTGATTGGCTGCCCCGTGTCAGTTCGGTAGTTCGGGAACAGACTTCGTCCGGAAGTGCACGCCGTTGTGTGTACGCGAGCCGAGCCATTTACCCGTGAGTGTGCCGATCATTTCCCCCACGGATGGCTTTTCAATAAGCCAACTGTAGATCTGCTTGAGAACTAGCTGTTGATCATTTGAAATCCCATCTGTGAAGCTTTAAAACAAGTTATTTGTCTTCCTGTGAGGAGACTTGCTCTTTCTTCACCTGGTAAATGACTACAGCAATGATGCCCTATGCAGGACTGTGTTGCATGAACAGTCAGATATCAGAGTATCACCTTGTTTGAACATAGAAGGTGTAAGTATTGTTCTTAGTAACAAACACGAAGAGCCGACGAACATCGTTTCCCCATCACTGGCCTATTTCTCTGTTCTTTGCAAAGAAATTCCTCAAAAGTATTCTCTGTACTCCCTCAAACGGTCTCCCCTCACTCACCCAACACGGTAGGTCACTTTTCAGTCTTCGTCTTGGTAGTTGACAGTTGTTACTCACTTTCCTTTGTAAACCTTTTATCTCTTGGTTTCCAGGAGATCAAACTTTTGGAACTCTACCTGATTGGCTCGGTTCATCCTCAATCTCTTGTGCTGCTGCTGCATCTTCCAAACCTGTTAATGTTGACAGCTTTGGTAACCAAGTTAGCTTTTCACTTAGGCTCATTCCTGTGGTCATCTCATACAGTCCAACACGAAGTATTTTACAACTCCCAAATGAAAATCTAAAGCATAGACTTCAAACTCTAGGCCTGAATATTCAACTGCCTGCTCAACCAGCGCATGCATTTGTACAGCAGATGTTACAAACATTGTTGAAGCTGAGTTCCTCTCCCCTGTCCTCAATAAAATCCACTAAATTCTTAGTTTAAGGACACTCTCTTCTGCTAAATGATTGGGATAAAAAATATTGAAATCCGGGGCTGGGAAAGTGGCTCAGTGGTAGAGCTCTTGCCTTGCATGCATGAGGCCCTGGGTTTGATTCCTCAGCACCACATAAGCAAAAAGAAAAAAGCTGGAAGTGGCGCTGTGGCTCAAGTGGTAAGAGTGCTAGCCTTGACCTTAAGAGCTGAGGGACAGTGCCCAGGCCCAGAGTTCAGGCCCCACGACTGGACCCAAAAAAAACAAACAAAAAAAAAATTGAAATCCTACCTTCTCATATCCAACACATCTAGAAATAAAATGCATCAAGAATCCTGTGTTAATGCAACTTACTATCTGTGCCTGAACCACATTACCCCTCACCTGAATTATTTTAGTGATCTTCTAAGTTCACCATTCTTGTTATTGTCAAATCTCAACATGACACAGTGGTCTCTAAGTCTGATCATGTCACCCTTCAGTTCAACATCCTCCAATGGCTTCCTGTCCCACTGAAGAATAAAAGTTAAAAGTTCCTGTCTGAGAGGGCCTATGAGTCTCTACATTTTATATCATAGATAGCAATTTCCACCAATATTTCAATCACTTCTGCTCCAACCATACTGCATTCTATTATTTGTATAGACCAGGCATGCTCCTGAATTTTGGCTCCTACACTGGCTGTGCCACTGCTTCAGACACTTTACTCTTGAGTCATGCCCTTTTTCAAGATTGTCAAGGTAAACACACATAGATATCAGTTAAAGCTATTCAAGCAGATTTTGTTGAGTAATTACTAAAAGTAGGGGTAGAATTACCTGAATTCTGATTTGTGCCTAGGAGACTAGGTGAAACTTAATGGTGATGTGAAAACTCAAGTACTCAGAGAAGTGAAACATTACACTGAGTTGTTAAGTAAAAATGGGACTAGGCTGTGTCTACCAGTTGCCACTTATGAAAATTAGGCTCTCTCCTCTCACTGAGTTTGGGAGATGAGGCCCTGTCTATCTAATGATTATATTTCAAAGGAATAACTTCCAAGTCCTTGAGAAAATACTTCAGAGTTATAGGAAATACAGATTCACAAATGGGCTTTTTCAAAGGGGCCTTTTTTCACAAATGGTATAAGAAAAACCTGTTGAAGGGTGTTGGCTAGAACAAACAATAAGTTCTAGTAGCACTAGATACTAAATTAGCATCTGCAGTAGGGGGCAGTTGCTCTAGAATTGCCTTGGAGATATGTTTGCATACTTCTGTATAAGAGTTTGATTTCTCTGACTACAGGGTTTGGATAGAGTCATTATGGGCCAAGAATTCTACAGTTTTTGATGCTATGCTGTAATATTTCTTCCTCAAGGAAGTTAACTATGGTGAGCATGGAAAACCTACCCTCTCACTTTTATACCTGGTATCCTTCTCCCCTTTGCCTTATTTTATATTTTTTCTGTTGTTATGCTGCTGTGTTCCCCTGAAACCCTAGCATATTACAGAATTGGTCCCCAGCTTGTGGTGCTGTTGAGAGATGAATGGATCATGATGGCACTAGCGTCACAAAAATTAATCCTTTCTGTTAATTTCTGGTTTGTCTCTCTTTTTGATCAGTAGATTAACTCACTGAGGAGTTCATAGTTGAATGGGCCATTAGGTGGTAAGGCCTGGCTAGAGGACTTAAGTAGGTCACTGGAGGGATGATGTTAAAGGGTGTATATCTCCATTTTTCTCTTTCATTCTGTGCTCCCAGCCACCATGAAGTTAGCAGTTTCCTCAGCCATGGTGTTTCTGCTTTGCAACTGGCCTAAAAGCAATGCGGCCAGTGACCCTGAACTAAACCCTTTGAAGTCATGACACAAAATAAATATCTCCTGTTCAAATTGTTCTCTCGGGCATTTTGCCAAAGTGACAAAAAGCTGAGCAACACACGTGCATTTTCTTCTACATATTTAAATCTAACAGTTACTATTATATAATAATATCCATTATATTAAATACTACACATTAAACTTAGTATGCTAGTTCACTACCATCTGTTTCATTCTCATTGAATATAATCTTCATTATTATCTTTTGTGCCTGCTTTGTTCATCAGTGTATGATACGTACCTATGCATGGAATATGAGATTCAGATTCACTAGATGCAGAGTTCTGTTGGTCTTGTAGGTTTGGGGCTGGAAATTGGAAAACTCCAGCATTTAACTATGGAAATATTCATTTGACAACTCCAACTTCATCTGATGACATGGACTGAATGAGCAGCCTCTACCTAGCAAGATCCTGTACAGAGGGAAATGAAAGCATAGTGAAACCAATGTTATTCAAGGCTTTGCAATGGTTTGATTGTGGTTTCAATGTGTCTTTCAGATTGACCCTCATTGTGACAGTGTTTAAAGGTGGCAGACTTGTTAATAAATGAGGTCCCATGGTAAGTAATGGAATCACTGGGGGAACTCACAGAGAGACTTAGTGTCATTCTCATAGGGTCCCAATTAGTTCCCAAATGACTGAATTGCTATAAAAAGAGCAAAGCTTTCTTACTGCACCTTTCTTACTTCCTGCCTCCTATGTGATCACTCTTACACATGTTGTCACAATTGTAATACTATATGGCCTGAGGCCCTCTTCAGAGATGAGAAGATGCTGGTGCCATCCTCTTGAAACCCCAGAACTGTGAACTAATAAATCTCTTTTCTTTATAAGACAACTACCCTTGGGTAGTTTGTTATGCCAAAATAATGACTACAACATTCTTCAGAAAGAGTTCATATCACCTCTAGTCACATGTTATTGTCCAAAGCAATTTACAGAGCCAACCCTGACATAAGACCAAAAGGTTAAATGTAATGCTGGCTCTGAAAAAAGAGAATAAACATCTTTAGCAAAAAAGTTTATTATGGATGCCTATATGACAGCTCAGTAGCAATTTCATAAGTATTGAGTGTCTGACCCTGAGGTTTCCTAATTCTAAATTGGAGATACAAATTTTAGAATGGTAAACTATTTACAACCTTAAAATAAGATCATCAAGGGAATAAGCATATATAGAAAGGAGAAAAGTTCCAAGTCTGAACTGGGCTCACCCAAATGTTTTCAAATCAGGGAAACGGTCAGAGAAATGGTCAAATGTGAATGACGAGTGTCCTGTAACAATGAAGAAAGAACTAGTTCTAGAGGCAAAGCAGAAAGTTTCAAGTAAAAGAGAATGCTCAAGTAATAGGATGAGAAACAAGAAGACTGGGACTTGAGGGCCAGTGGAGGGCACTGCAAAGATAATTAATACTGCTACCATCACAGTTGTGCTGGTGGCTTTCTTATGACCTTGTGTCTGTTGGTAATTAATAAATACTGCTACCATCACGGTTGTGCTGGTGGCTTTCTTATAGCCTTGTGTCTGTTGGTAATTGATACTGCTACCATCATGGTTGTGCTGGTGGCTTTCTTGTGGCCTTGTGTCTGTTGGATAAATGGGTTGTAGAGTGGTCTCTAATGGATAGTTGGTAAAAAAAAATCTTCTCCCATTCTGACGGCTTTCTATGTAGCTTGTTAGCTATGTCCTTTGCATGTAGAAACTTAGGTTTGATGCAATCCCATTTATCAAGTTTTTCTTTGATATTTTTTCCTGTTTGTGGAATTTTGTTCAGAACATTTCTACCTGTGCTCAGGAGCCCTATGTTTCCCCTACCCCTTCCAGCAATTGGTTTGTGGCTCCCAGTCTTACATTGAAGTCTTTGGTTCATTTTGAATTGATCAAATAGAAATCAGGAAAGCAACCCCCCATTTGCAATAGCCAAAATAAAACAAAAATCCTGAGAATTAACGGCCAAAGATTTGAGATGTGAAGGAAATCTATAGTGAAAACTTTTTAAAATGAGAAAGGAAATTGAAGACGGAAATGAAAAGGCTTTCCATGATTCTGCATTGGAAGAATTAACATTATGAAAATGGGAATAATGCCCAAAGCAACTTACAAATTCAATGCAATACCTAGCAAAACCCCAAAAACATTCTTTAACAAGATAGAGAAAGAAATCCAAAAATTCATATGGCATAATAAAAGACTCAAAATAGTAAAAGCAGTCCTTGGCAAGTAGAACAGTGTTGGAGGAACAACAATACCAAACTTCAGACTGTACTACAAAGCCATAGTAATGAAAACTTCTTGTTACTGGCACAAAAATAGGTCTGAGGATTAATGGAACACAATAGAAGACCCAGAAACAAACTCACGTACCTATAGCCATCCAATCTTCTATACTGGAGCCAAAAATCATCTGCTGGAAGATAGCCTCTTCATCAAATGATGCTGGCAAAACTCGATATCCACATGCAGAAAACTCAAGCTAAAGTCCCCATATATCACTTTGCACTAATCCACCAGCCATATTTTTTCCACCATTTTTCTGATTCCATCTTTATCATATACATGCATAGTTTCCAATATTTATTTTCTAATGCTTTCATTAAGATATTCCTGAGCTGTTAAAATTAGTCCATTATCATGTGCATTTAGCATTTTTATACTTGTGACAGACTTTTCTTAGATGTTCCTTGTATGTGTTCCTGCAAATAGGACATGGCCTTTTTTACTGTAACATTCAACTTAGCATCTGGCACACAGTAGGGAACAAAAAAATACTAATTTCTTAGATGAATGGATTTGTATCTTATACACATTTAGCAAATGCGAATTTTCTCAATGGCATCACTACTTGGATTGTAATCTTTAGTTAAACTTGCCTTTTACAGATTCTCATTTTTCTCCTTGGAACCAAATGTACAGTCTTGTTATTTAGACTGCTTTAGTGATCAGCTAATATTAGTCTTCTGGATAGAGCTGTTGTTGGCAAACTGCCCAAAACTGAAGAAGTTACCTTGGAATAGGGACCCAGTCAAATTAGCACCAAGTATTTCTCAATAGCCTCCTAGAGCATGTTATCTGAGAGAGAAGTGCTTTCTAAGCACTCAAAATAGATTCCATACCATAAAATAAATGACCCGTCTATATAAAATAACATTGAAAAAACTATAAATGCCAAAAATCACATTGAAAGACAAATGACAACTTTGTATTTTCAGCATTCATGAGAAATAGGATTCATAATCCTAATATAGGTAGAATTTCTTAAAGTAGAACACATTGAAACCCCCAGTAAAAACAGAAACAAAAACAAAACAATCAACCAAGCCATTGAGCCAGCTTTCATGGGGCATGTCTGTTATCCCAGCCTTGGGGAAGGCCAAGGTAGGTGGATTGTAAATTTAGGCTACATAGCAAAATCACATCACAAATACAAATAACAGCAACAAGAAAAAAAGAAAATTAAGAAATAATATGAGAGTAATCTATAAAAGAAAATTTAGACAACAGATATATAAGAAATGTTTTCAACTTTATGAGAAATCACATCACATAACAATGTTATGACAGGTTTCACTATCAAACTGACAGATTCCTTTACATAATAGCACTCAGTACTGACAGAGTGAAGGTAATAAAAACTTACATACAGAATTAAAATGATACATTCTTGATGACATCATGGAAGACTTGAGGAGTGAGGATCAGGGAAGATGGGTTATGAGAAGTTCAGAGCTCTATGAGAGAGTTGAAAGGAAGGGCAGCCTGGGATTCTGACGTTTTCTGTGTAGCTGAAATGAGTAAGGATAAAAGACATAATAAGAAATTTGAAGCAATCAGAAGAGAACAAACACTTTTGAAAATGATGACTCATAAGCTTGGCCTTGCTGACTGTTTTCAAATATAAACAGTCTGTGTTCACATCGAAGTTAATTCCTCCACTTGCATGCTAGATCCTGCCCTCTCCTGCCTACTCAAGAACACCACCGCAAAATCCCCTTGTTATGTCACCAGTCTTATTCCCTTTACTTCATCTTATCTACTTGCAAACATGCTATCATTTCCCTAGCTTAAAAAAAGACAAAAAAGCTTTTTCTGCACCTACTTTCTCCACCTATTCTATGTATTTCTCTTTGCAGAACACTTCCTTGTAAGAAGGGTCCCTATTACCTCTCCCCAGATTCTTTCCTTAGTTCTCTGGTGTTTTTTTGTTTTTGTCAGCCATGGGATTTGAACTCAGGGCCTGGGCGATGTCCCTGGGCACCTTTGCTCAAGGCTAACACTCTACCGCTTTGAGCCACAGCACCAGTTTTGGTTTTCTGGTGGTTAATTGGAGATAAGCGTCTCATGGACTTTCCTACATGGGTTGGCTCTGGACAGCGATTCTCAGGTATCATCCTCCTGAATAGCTAGGAATATAGGTATGAGTCACCAGCATTTGGTGCTCAACCCAAACTAACTTTTACCCCATCAAAACTCCTCTTGGAGATGACAAATGAGCACATTGCCAAATTCAGTGACCAATTCTTAGTCCCTTCTTTATTGACCAATCAGCAGTTGACACTTTTTATTATTTCCTGTCCCTTGAAATAATTTGATCATTTTTTTCAAATCGTGTTATCCTTTTGATTTTCTTTTCTTCCTAAGTTCTTTCTCCATTTTTCATTAGTTTTTCCCCTCTAAACTATTACGTGTTGGACTGTTCCAGAATTTCATCCTTAGTCTTCTCTATACAGTTTCTCTTACCTTTTTCAGTCAAAGCTGTCATTCTACTATTTGAACCAAACCTTCACATTTGGATTTTTTTGCTGGTTAGTTAGAGATAAGAGTGTCTTAGATTATGTTCCCAGGACGGCTTCAAACTGAGAATCTCAGATCTCAGCATCCTAAGTAGTTAGGATCACAGGTGTGAGCCACCAACACCTAGTTTGGTTTTTTTTCCACATTCAAAGTAAAAATGACATAAACACAGACACAGAGACCTACTTTGGCTTATATTTAGTAAACTTTCAGCTGTTTCACCATAGTCTGAGGAATATTAGATTTTTTTCCCCAAGGTGAAAGTAAAACAAGCATGAACACATTTCTTCCTGAACAAGTACAACAATAAGGAAGGAACTATTTAAGGCAGTGCTATTGCTTGATACTAAGTACTGTGTGTATATTGGGTCTTATCTGTAGGGATGAGTGTAAAATGTCTGAGTAAAGGGAGGAAATCAAATGCTTATGGGCAAAAAAAGAGAGAAATTTCCAGTTTCTGATTACAAAGTCACTTTGTAAATATTGGCAGGTGGCCTCAAGTTTCAACAGGAAAGTTTTGACCCAATGTCCTTAAGTGGATGCTATGTGAACCATTGGTAATGGAGAGAATAACAAAACATCCCTTCTTATAACAACTTCCCATTTTTTGCCTTTTCCCTGATAAATTATTTTACTTGTCTCTAGAATATAATGCAAGTACTTCTGCCTTTTTATATTCCTTTTATTTAAAGGCATGTCTTCAAACAAGCAAACATTGAAAGTAATTCTTTTTTTAAAAAAATGTATTATTATTATTTTTTTAAGTAGTTGTACAAAGAAGTTCCCATTCTACAAAACAGTATATGAATACAAGGTATCTGACAACATTTTCATCCATCTCTCCTAACCTATCCCTTCTCCCACTTTTTTTTAAAAAATTGTGATAGGTCAATAAAAAAAGAAAATAAAATAATTGAGATAGGTGATTACACGAATTTCACAGTATTGTGGAATAGTGATACTTAGTTAAAGTCAAAACACATTTTAGCCTTCACAAGTCAAATTATCATTATCATGGTATATATAGTTTGTGAATTCTATGAGCTTTGACAATAAAAATTATTTCTTCCACAGCAGGGGATGTTTACACTTCTTTCCTTTTGCTTAGTGTAAGCTGTTCCCTTTCCATCTCATTCCTCCCTTCCCACTGCTGTCTTTGGTTGCTTAGTTCCTTTTCTTCTATGTCCAGTGCAGCTGGTGGACCCCTTTGTTGTATGTTGTTTCATTTCCCACTTATTCTGTTCCTCCTCCTGGCTTCCCTCCATTGACTGCATATATCTACCATATATATGGTCAAGAACATGGAGTCATTTAGTGGATGATATGACAAAATGAGTAGCTGTCATTTGTTTTCTTGTTTCTCAAGTCCTGTTTACTTTGTCATATCTTCTTGCATTTTGGCTTCAGCATCCACATATCAGAGAGATCATGTGCTGTTTGTCCCCTTGTTCTTGACTTACCTCACTCAAAACAATTTGAGTTCCATCCATTTCCCTGCAAATGCCATTATTTTGTCCTTTCTAATGGCTGCATAATATCCATTGTGTATAGGTACCACAATTTTTGGATCCACTCATCAGTAGTGGGACATCTGGGTTGTTTCCAAGTCTTGGCTATTGTGAACAGTGCTGCAATAAACATGGAAGTGCATGTATCTTTGTATACTGGTTTCTGTTGTTCAGGATAGATCCCTAGGTGAAAGCAATTCTTTTTTAAAATAAAAT